TGATAAATTAGAAATCCAAGAAAAGATGAGTCAGCCATTAAAGCTGGGGTAGGCAGAAATCTGGAAGTGGAAAAAAAAGAGTCAGAGTTCTCTTGCAGCTCTATTCTCTTTGTCCTAAGCCTCTCCCATCAGAGGACCACGGCATTTGCACACGCTTCATGTAGTAACCCAGTGTTTCCCATACATTGAATTATTTAATCTTACTGTATTCAATTGTAAAACAGCACACAGCTCATTTGAAGTGAGACAGGAATGAGCTAGCTAGTGACCCCCAGGTCCCTTCAGCTCGCTCCCCACCACTGTGGACTGCTTACCTGGGAGGAGAGCGGGCAGCAACTCAAGAGACAGACCCTTAGTCGGAGGCTGTAGCAGCTCAAATTTGGCCAGCGCAAATCTCCCAGTGCTTGGTGTTACAGCAGGCTGGTGGTCAGCGGCAGGTCTAACCTGTTAGCTGATATGGCGAGGAGTTGGAGTTGTCTGGTCTCCCAGAGCTGGATTTGTGCTGGCTGGATTCAGCTGGGGGATGGACCCCCATTCAGCAACTGCCCGCTCTCCTTACAGTGAGATGGTGTATAGCGGCGTAGAGTGAAGCGGAGGACACACTGTTATTCTAGGCTCTAGCTAATGTTAGCTACATAAACATGAACTTAAAGCTGCAGTTGTGAACCTGTGGCTCCAGTTCACAGAAGGATAAACTATTAAGAAAATTTTGTCTCCGTCTCCGAAACACTTTGCAGATACTGACACGTGTTTTATTTGGTTTATTGTCAGACTCTCTTCATGATAAGTCTGTCTTCCTTTTTGGGTTGCTTTGCAATGTAGGCAGTTGTTGTTGCCAATGTTGAAATAGCAACTTTCTCCGCAGGATTCTCCACCATTGAATCAGGCTTTCACCTAAGGGATGTGTGCATGCAACTGCATTTGTAGAACAGCCAATTAGAACACCCCCCTCTCTGAAATGATCTGTGATTGGCCAATTTCTCCTGTCATGAGCTAGATTTTTCTGAAGCCAGAGCCAAGCGGAGTTACAGAGGTCTAGTTTTCTCTCAGGCCACTTGAATTACAAAATGCTCAAAGTGAACTGTCAGATTTTTGCACACTGACACCAAAATTATACTGCCTACCCCAGCTTTAATGTGAACAATTGCAGTTGTATTTGTGATTTTACATTATATTCTCTGTAATATGATATATAGTCAGAACAAACTAAAAAGGTAGAGTAACTGAACTGATGCTTTGTTCCTGATATGTAAGGTCTATAGTCTACAAATGATTTAATTCATTCAGCAGGTTATCTTAGGGGTTACAATATTCTGTAGATGTTCTGCAAATAAACAAGTAAGACTTTTTGTCAGGTGACATTTGAGCATCAACACATGACTCTCCAGATAATGTTTGGGGTTCATAAAATGTGTTTTCTTTGGTGTTTTGATGGAGGAAATCTGATTCAGTTTGTCACTCTTTAACACTTCATCAACCTTGCCTCCCCCTCAGTGTGGTTTCTTCAAGAGGGCAACAAAAGACCAGTACGATGCTGCGTATCACAAGGCAAAGATCCATGTTCAGCCCTCTGACAAAGACAAACTCTCTGCTGAGGCCTGATTTATACTCTCTGAACAGGGGTAAAAACAAGCAGCTGGCATGGAGTGTGACTACTGCCGCCACTAATGAGCTCACTTTCCAGCCGCACCAGCTGACTTCATGCAGAAAAATTCAGACACATAATATACATATTAATGTTGTTAATACTGAATTAACACAAGGTTTCTGATGTACATTATGTGTCTCTGAATTTCGCCAAGAAATTAATGCATCTTCGTACCAACAGGCTTAATCTTTTCCTTTTTAATTGTTCTGCTCTGCAGGTGCTTTTGGCTGACATCACTTTTACTGCTTGGCTGTTTGACATGTCCAGTTAAAGGTTCAGTGTGTAAGATTTAGGGACATCTATGGACAGAAATGAAATATAACTAAGTTTTCATTAGTGTATAATCACCTGAAAAGAATTGATATGTTTTATTACCTTAAAATGAGCCTATTATATCCACATGTGGGTCCTCTTCCATGCTGTCCGCCATGTTGTTTCTATGGTAGCCCAGAATGAACAAACCAAACATTGACTCTAGATAGTGCCAGTCATGTCTTTGCACTGGCCGCCATAGTCCTTCTACACACTTTTGGCACACAGGAGAAGTTTCAGTTCTGCAACCTCACCACTAGATGTCACCAAATCCTGCACACTGGACCTTTAAAAACTACAAAGCATGCTTAACATCCTTGCGTATCTCTCCTCTTGTTCACAGTGTGCATTCATGCATATTTCTAATATTCATCATTTTTTAATAATGCATTATGTTTTTGAAATCTCCCTCCCCAGTGTGGATTCTTCAAACGCACCAAACAAGACGACAGCGTCCCTCGTTACCACGCCGTGCGGATACGAAAGGAAACTCCTGATTATAAAGATGGAAAAGTCAAACTTGATCCTTTTGAAAAGAAGCAGTGGATGACGACTTGGATTGATGATGAAAGTTACTCGTGACTCAAATGATTTTTGTGAACAGGTTTAACCTGATTTTTTAAAAACAGTCTCCACAATCACACTGAACTTTGTTTTGTCTCCATCATCAGTAATTCTCCTTTTCAGGAATTAGCTCGCTTCATGTATTTGAATTTGTACACTGTATAGATGATGAAATGTTTCTTGTAAGTTTTGTATATATTTAAATACTTCTGCACACTGTATATTTATTTTTTGATAAAAATAATTTCATGCAGTCAAAGAGGTTTTTCTCTGTCATGTGTCCTGGAGCTGACTGACAAAGGGCAAAGTTTACTATGGTTTTGTACTGTCTCACCTAAAGTTGAAAGTCTATGCAAAGAAGGTACAGCTAGCTCAGTGTCACATGAATGTGAATCTGTATACCTTTATTTTTGGTTGTTTTACATGTCTAGTTTCAATGACAAAAATGCTTCTGTATTTTGTGGAATGACATTTAGTCACAGTATCATTTCACAGTAATTTAAGGTGTACATACGACCACTTATTTCTTCACGTCTTCTCACTGCTGTGGCATTCAGGTAGCATCCACTGTACTGTAGGTCATCACTGAAGTCAGACTTTTGGTTACATGTGAGGAATCCAAAGGGAAGATCCAACGTGTTTTATAGATTTAAATCAAAGTGAATGTCTTACTTGTTGTGAAGTATAATAAAATGCTTAAGAAGTGACTGCTACTGTGGAATTTCATTACCATTAAAAGTATAATCCTACATAAAAGTAGGGCTGAAACTAATGATTATTCTCCATTGGAGGGGAACTCCGCCCATTTTCAAATTTCATACGTTATTCCTATGATCTAACCTAGCATGGAAATTCGATGAGTTAACTTCAACCCTCTCCCAAATCCAAAATCTAGAGTGATTAAAGTCATATTTGTGATGTCATCAAATATAGATCAGTGTTTCTCAAATGGTGTGCTGTGGGATTTTGTGATAACCAAAGATAATTTTGCAATTTTAAACTGGGCCTACAGAAAAAGTTATGAATTAATTTTTAATTAACTGTATCAGTATGTTATGCACATGCATTCCCAAATAAAGAGGCAAACCTTACCTTAAAAAATTTAATCTAGTTTAATTAAAATAAACCTTTACAGGGAACCTGTGTCGCCATTCATGTGTGGGAATAGTAAGCGTGAGACACATCACATTATCTTACATTTCCGTTTAAATAGAGGTGTTATTAGTGCTTTGATGTAATTGTAAATAGTTTAAAATGAATTCTTGAATCATTTTGTTAACAAATATCTCATTAGCAATAGTTGGTTGTCAATTGTTGTTTGATATTAGTAAATAAAAACAAGCATTTATGTCATGATAAGAGTGATAACATTAAAAAGTTTGAAAACCACTGTTCTAGATGACACAGAGAGCAGCCAGGGGAATGTGCTGAGGATAATGGGAACATTTTCTGTTTTAGAACTGACAGTGCTACAAAAGAATAAAACTAGTTTAGGTATTAAAAAAGAAGACCAACAAAAGCAGCCTCACATTCATTGTCTATGGGGTGGCTCCAGACTTTAAATTTGATGATATACCAAGTTTGAGACTTACTGGCTTTGAGAGAGAGTACCTCATGTTCACAAATCTGAATTGAACATTCATAGGCCGTGGACATAACATACTGGATTTCTTACTTCAGGTGGTGTTCCGCTTTAAAGTGCCGATTAGGTTTACAATCAATAGTGTTGGGTCTATAAGCTTTACAAGATGGACAAAGTCCCCAATATAATTGCCTAAATCCCAATTTGATATCTTGATTTTTTTTTTTTGACAAATAGTCACCACCCAAAGATGCTCAGTTTGCTATCAAAGAAAAGCAAATCCTCATAACTGAGAAGCTGGAACGTGGAAACGTTTGGCTGTTTTTCTAGGAGGAAAAAAAAGACCTGAAGATACACTAGGCAGGATTTTTCAGAAAACTAATGTCTAGATTGATACAGAAGTAATCCCTCTCAGTGATCACTTATGACCCACTACAAGTGTGCGGTGGTGTAATTATTTGGAGACTCTGCCCTCTGCCTGTATTTTCTTCTTTTGTTCTTATTTTCTGTGTTCAGGATGAGGTCAAGGCTTTATAAAAAGGTAGCAACCAGGTGCCAGACTGTAAGCAGCAGACACCCCAAAGCACCAAAAACCAAAAACAAATATAGCAAGGCGAAACACTAAACAAGAATTAATCTTTTGTTAGTTTTCACTTTAACTGGCGAGCGTGTTCACAAACAGTAACCAACAATCCTGCATAGTATACCTTTAAACAATTAGTCAGTCGACTAAGCAATTGTTTCGGGTCTAAGCAAAACACAATTCCATCTGGACTTCTTTTAAAGATATATCATATCTTTGACATAATTCATATGTTACTGTGACACTGGACGTGTGCACAAAGGCACCTCTTCAACAAAAACACTGCCACAGTAATAAATGGCGATAAATTATAACCAGAGCCTTAATCCAGATATTTATTCAATCTTACTATTTAGAACAAGCATTGCATTTACATGGAAACAGATGATTATTTTCACTTCTCTATATAAAAAGCTATTACAATGAAAATATCAATCTTTATGTAACCAAACGATTCAAAACAGCTGGCGGGAAAAAAGAAAATAAAGAGGAATTAATGAATATTTTGGTTGCCTCTCCACCCCTAAAAAGACTTCCCTCTTTAGGACTACCGAAAAAAATATCATTATGCAAATATACATGTCAACATTTTAATTCCAGATCAGTCAAATGTTAAACGAAAGGTTTTCTCCTGCTCCTTGCGCTGGTTGTCGCACAGCTTGGACACTTCCTCCACTCTCCTCTGTAAAAGAACCGAGTTCTGATCGATCCACTGAAGTGAATCCATGTGGGTGTTGAGAATTTTACAGATCTGCTGAAGCTGAGGGAGAGAAAAATAGAAGTACAAGTTAATTTAATTTGCAACAATAAACGCCACAGCATCAAAATACTGTCAAAAAGGTTGCACTTGAATTAGGTCTCATCTTACTGGGTCACTGGTATCTGCTGGGCCACTGGATGTGTTCAGGTGCTCGATGATCTCCTTCAGGTCCTGTGACATCCTCTTCAGCTGTGCGTCCACATTCTCGGCAAGCTTGTACGTTCTTTCACGTTCCTCGTCCGCGTTCTGCATGTAGATGGTTCCACTTTGCTCCTTCACTGACTCCTCGAGCGGGCAGAGTAAGTCCTCCAGCTCCTTCTGCTGGGACAGGATGAAGTCCAGCTCCTGGTTTAGCCTTCTCTGGTCCAGCTTCACCTTCTCCATCTCTTTATGCAGGGCTGTGATCTTCTCACCATTCTCCACCAGCATGCGATCCCATGCGTTCACCTGAGTAGCCTGCTGTAAGAAATGTCTCTCTTGGTCTTCAAGCTCAAGACTCCACTTGTTAATGAGCCCCTCTAGCTGGGCGTAGGTCATCACTGGAGGAGCCGTGGTTGTAGTGAGTGTTGTGGCTGTGGTAGCTATTGTTGCACTTGCGCCAGATGAAGGTTTGAGCCCCAGTGTAAAGGCTGTAGCGGCACCCGTTGTGGCAGCTGCAGTGGCAGTAGAGGAAGGGGCAGAGGTGGAGGTGATGGTAGCTGCCCCCAGAGGTTTGAGCATAAAAGCCAGACCTCCACCAGCTGCTGCGGTTGTTGCAGCGGCAGTGCTTGCTGCTAAAGTTGGAGCTGCACCCAAAATAAAACCTGTAGCTGCTGCTGCAGTAGTAGCAGGGGCAGCAGCAGCAGCAGGGGCAGCAGCTGTAGTGATGGGTGAAGCAAAGAGAGACGGCCCTGGAGCTGAGGCTGCCTGGGTCGATGCAGGAGGTGCTGGGGTTGATGAGGGTTTAATCCCAAAAGTAAACCCCCCACCTGCACCTGCTGTGGCTGCAGCAGTGGAGGCTGGCTGGGGCTGGGTGCCCAAGGTCAGGTTGGATGGAGCACTGGTGCCAAAGCTGAAGCCTCCACCTGGGGCAGCAGTGGTGGCTGCAGCAGGGGCTGAAGCAGTGGTCGCCTGGACCTTGGTTGCTCCAAAGCTGAACCCCCCGAATGAGAGGCCGCCTGCTCCTGTAGTTGCTGTTACCGCGGCTGTGGATGGTGCTGCAGGTTGGGGTTGAGATGCAGGTTGGGGTTGGGGTTGAGCTTGAGGAGTCCCAAAGGTGAAACCCCCGCCTGCTGGGGCGGAAGTTGTGGTCTGCGCAGCCAAACCCGTGCCCAGGGTGAACCCTGACCCCGCAGCTGGAGCTGATGCAGAGCCTAAAGTCAACCCTGCTGGTGCTACTGCTGCTGTTGTTGCTGTGGTTTGAGGAGCACTCAGGCCAAATGAGGCGGTGGGGGCCCCAAAGGAGAAGCCTCCACCTGCTGCTGTCGTCTTTGCTTGGGTGCCAAAGCTGAAAGAGTTGGTGGGGTTGGCGGTGGGCTGAGTGGAAGTGCCGAAAGAGAAACCGCCTCCGGGAGCTGCCGGTGTGGAGCTTGTCATCCCGAAGCCTGTACCGGGGGCAGCGGTTGGAGGCTTCTGAGCTCCAAAAGCGAAACCCGTGGAGGCTTGCCCGAAGTTAAATCCGCCACTCATTTTCGTTTGTAGCAGGTTAACTTAAATATGACGTTATAAAAACCAGCTACCTCACAAAATGGTCACTTCCTCGCTGAACTGTCGCTTTTGGCGGGTCACAAACACGAGCTACTTCAACCGTCGTAACGTAAACCCAGGAAACCGTTACTCCTCCGCGATGACTTTCTAAACGTTAGCGGTTAGTAAAGTCAATCACAGGTTTGTTAACGTCACTTTGATCCAGTCAGCGACTCAAAATTAACAAAACATCGTCATAAAAACGTGGCCCACTGCCTCGCACTTCTTCCAGCAGGCATTTCTGTAGTTAACTAAAGGAAATGACGACAGTTAGGACCCAAACACGAGTGACGTCTACCCCGAGTTTTGTCTGCCAGAGCACCAATCCCGCCTCTCTTGGTAAGATTGACAGACATAATATCCAATCAGAATCCTGATCAGACCCAAGCTGAAATCTGATTGGTCAGAACTGCTGCCTGAAAAACAAGCCTCCGGGAACGCACACTTTTCCAAAGAGTACTGAGTGTACAAGATAGTAATTATGTATAGAATACGATACAAGCTGTGTGCCGACTCAAAAGAAGAAATAAGAGACTCTTTTCACAGGCGCCCATAAAATAACGTTGTTTAACATAGCTATCGGATAAAGTGACTCACCACTGATGCCAAATAAAATGTCGATAACCCTGACATGTTAGGACAGTTACAGACAAACGTAAAACAAATGACTAGAAATGTTAAAAACGAGGTACTTACAAATTTTTCGTTCTTAATTTCCCTGAAACAATTTTCATGCTTACTGTTTTCCTTAAAGATTGTACACAGTCCTTTTTTTAAATAGCATATCTGCTCAATGAAGTTTTAAAACATCAGGTCTAAAGGTACTACGGTTATTCTCTTGACTTAGTTATGACTCTTTGGGTTAGCTAGCTGTCCACTGGTTGTACACTGAGTACCCGCATAGCCTCCTTTCCATGTTGGTACTTTTGCCAGTCAACTTGTATCAATTAAAATAAATGGCGATTTAGAAATATTGTAGCGGGGACTATGGATGCTGACATTTCATTAAATAATTCAATAAGAGGACGTTAATTTCACGAGTGTGTCTGCGGGCTACTGAAGTTAGCTTGGAAGCTAATATCAACATAGATTAGCTAAGGATAATAACTTACTGCGTGCCACAATGAGGATTTTAAGGGTTCTGAGGAGCAGCGTGTCCATAACAAAGGACATCGACTACTACTCCAAGTTTTCTCCCTCTCCTCTGTCAATGAAACAGTTTCTGGATTTTGGTAAGAGAGCACATACACTACAAACACTTAATGTCTCTGTGCCTACATATGGAGCATTTAAGGCTTGTGACTGCTTGCTCTTCTCAGGTTGCATATCAATAAGTTGTGAGCACTTAAGTTAAATAATCAGTTTCCTTTTTGACATTGTTTAATTCATAGTTCCCCCTCTGGCAACTCCATATATATTCACCCAGTGACCCCTGGAGGAGTCCAGACTCCCAAGGTTGTTTGAAACCAAATGTCTTGTCTGTCAGATAAAATAATAAGTGTCAAACAGGCATCAAGATTTAACTTGCCATTTGAAAATGGCACTTTTTCTCCTAATAAGAAAATGATAAAGAACATCCTAGCTGTGGAAACCAGGGATAAGTCAAACCACCAGTGTTTACTGGGTGTAAAATGAGCTGTGTCCTCCCATTCATTGAACTGGAAAAACACGCACCCCATGTTTGCTGTGGTTTGTTAGTTTTGTGGAGCACAAATTGCACCAAGGAGTGTGCACACACATGAGAGCATATCAGCAAGACAGGCAGTCAAAAGCAGGTAAAAAACAGGAGCCACTCAAGGCCCTTGTCATATCTGTTTATGTTGTATGTAGTGGTGCATTGTACTTAACAAATGTGCAATTTATCAGAGGACCACAGACCGGTTACTACATCAAAACACGTAGGCCTGAGGGTCAGGGGCTGTTGTGCATTTTAGGCAGTTGTAATGTAGCCTTGGTGGCAGCTAAGGTTGGAGGATGTGGATAAAGTCTTTTCTTAAGATACATGTGTTTTATATTAGAAGACTGATATATTGCATGTCATGGTTTTGGTGATGATTCTCAGTCATCCAGGTCATGGTAATCTTAAGTGCTACATCGTAGGCCACTGGAATATTTGAGTTTCTTGAAGACGTTTCACCTCTCATCCAAGAGGCTTAGACTTTGAACTGAAGAAGCCTCTTGGATGAGAGGTGAAACGTCCTCAAGAAACTCAAGCAAGTCCAGTTGCCTACAATATAGCACCTAAGATTGCATGTCATGATGGAATAAACTTATTGGAAAACGTGATTTAGAAACTTTTTATGGATAAAATAACCTAATTGGAACGTCTGTTTTTGACTAATCCAGCAAATTAGGTACCCAACAAATAAAGTAACATGAATGCTAAAATCATTTTTAAAAATGCAGTATTGGCAAAAAGAAGTCTGGCTCATTAATGTGCAGCATTGCTCTCAATGACTAAATGATAGCTGTGACAGTATGAACTGTGTAGTAAAATTATGTCAGATAGATTTATACTGTACATTGTCATATCTACGGGAGCCAAGAAAGGTTACCCTTCCAATTATTTTTTCAGTGCATTATGTCAAGGTCACATATGAAGTACTGCAAACAGGAAAAGAATCCAGGCACTCCAAACAAAAATGAGAATGAGGAAGGAAAGATTAGATTAAAAAGCCTTTAATATAATGGCCAACTCATTAAATGCTTTTTAATGAGCTGGCCATTATATTAAAGGCTTTTTAATCTAATCTTTCCTTCCTCATTCTCATTTTTGTTTGGAGTGCCTGGATTCTTTTCCTGTTTGCAGTATTTTGGAGTTCCCTACTTTTTTCCAAGAGCACCCGATACATTTTTGGATCTACACTCTACAACACAGAGCAACCAGTTATCTGTTTTTTTTGTCACACATGAAGTATTTCATTATCTCAAAAAATGAGCTTTCTTATGGCGAGATAATGAATTAAAACAACCCTTTGTTTTTTTTTTTGTTATAACAGGTGAATTTTATCTTTGTCACTAGACAATGAATCTCATTTTCTTGATATAACAAAATAACTATCTCTTTATTACAAGATAACAAAGCTTGTTCTCTAGATATAACTGAATAATAAACTTGTTATCACAAGATAACACAGATCATTTTCTCAAGATAACAAAATAATGAACTCTTGATCTTGATATAATTGCAATAAAAAAATGGAAGAATGGCAGTTTTCAGCTTCAATCAATGGAGCATCAATGAAAAATCATTCTTGTGACAAATTTTGCTTCCCATACAATTTTTTAAAATACTAACATGAGAATTCTGACATTTTTTTTACACTCTTCAGGCTCAGAAAATGCATGTGAGAAAACATCCTTCGCCTTCCTCAGACAGGAGTTACCTGTAAGGTTGGCGAACATCATGAAAGAGATCAACTTGTTGCCAGACAACTTACTGAGGACTCCATCAGTGCGGCTGGTCCAGAGCTGGTATGCAGCTTATGTATTTATCGGCTTTTATATGATACTGATGTGATTTGTAGTGAATGTAAATAGATAGTAATGATTTATTTCCATGTGCAGGTACATGCAGAGTTTTCAGGACATTCTCGAATTCAGAGACAAAAATGCAGATGATGAGAAAGTCACATATGAGTAAGTAAATTAAACAAACACTTCTGTTCATGATGATGTAGTCCTGTGGTTTATTTTTCATACATTAACATAACTGTAATATCTTTTCTTAGTTTCACAGATGCGGTAATAAAGATCAGAAATCGGCACAATGATGTCATCCCCACCATGGCTCAGGGAGTTGTGGAGTACAAGGAGGCGTACGGCACCGACCCAGTCGTCAGCCAAAATGTTCAGTATTTCCTCGATCGTTTCTACATGAGCAGGATATCCATCAGGATGTTGCTCAACCAGCACAGTGAGTAGATTCTGTTCTGTGTAACACAAGATGATCTCCTTTTGTCAGTCATGTGTAATAGAACGTGTAAACAATAGTTGTACTTGTTTGGAAATCAATGCCCTCGACTACAGTGTAGATGTGTTACAGAGAGTGAAGTTGCTCCATTAACAGTCATTGCCACAGTGAAGCAGGAATCACCACACCCAGACTTGCCCCGTATCTACATCTTTGAATGAGTCAATTGTTTATACAAGTGTGAGACATTAGAGGGCAAAGAAATAGTCAACCTGCCAAGACCTGAATGTTATTATTAATATTATTGTTATTAAAATAAAGTTATGTTTAAAAGAGACACAGTTCCTGATGTGTGCCTGGCAGAAAACAATGAGGACAAAGGATCAATGTAAGAGCATAGTGATAAAATGAAACAAAACATCGTCAGAGTCTAAATCAGAAATACTTTATTGATGCCCGAGGGGAAATTATGATTCATAACATTGGCTCCAATGTAAAGAATAGAGTGTTATAAGAAGTAAGAATATAAGAGTATGAAATAGAAGTATGTAAAAATAAAGCAATAAATTAAATTAAATTAAATAACTTAAATTAAATTAAAATAGAATAAAAATTAAAATCTACATTAAAATAAAAAAATAGAATGTGCATTTTGCTACAGTGTTTAACACTAGTACTTATAAAAAACAATATAAATATAAAAAATATTAAAAATAAAATATATATTGTCACTGATATTAAAAATAAAATATATATTGGCACAAAAAATATTTTGATATTATGATATTATTATTATGGTATATGAATATAATATAATTATGATTAGATTAAGAGAAAGAGAGAATAAAATAAAGAAAAAGTGAGTGTGCTTGGTCATAATGACAAGACTGACACAAGACTGTGATATAAAAATTAAACCTTAAACATCATATAGATAAAAAATGCTCATGATCTCAACTTTGATCCAGTATTTACAAAACAGATATACTGTGCAGGATTTTCCTAAAAAAAAAAGAAAAAGATATCATTAATGTATAGACTTATACAGAAGTTATCTCTAAATCATCACATATGACCCATTAGAAGTGTGTGGCGGTGTATTTATCTGCAGAGACTCTGCCCTCTAACTGTGTTTTCTTATTTTCTGTGTTGTGGTCGTTTATGGATGTGTACACCCACAGCGCTCAGGTGAGGTCAGGGCTTTATCAAAAGGTAGCAATTAGGTGCCAGACCGTAAGCAGCAGACGTCCAACAAACACAGTGCTGGAAAAATGTAAATATAGCGAAACGAAATGCAAAACAAGAGTGACTCTGGGGTCGGTTTTTACTTTCACTTTCTTTGGCGTGTTAACAAACAGTAATCAATGATCCTGCATAGTATACCTTGGTTAATACTTTGTTTTTATTATCTTTTACAAAAAGAAAAAGCAGACAAACCAGGGTCAACAGACAGGGACATTATAGGTTAAGGTGGAATTCTTAACATCTTGTAAATAGAATAGAAAAGAAGCAAGGTTACATTGTAGTATCACAGATAATGGGTCCTTTATGTCCATGATTGTCCTTTATGATCACGAAGGTCGTTATGATCCTTGACTCTGATTAATGGAAAACCAGGGTATTTTAAAGGAGGGAGAAATCTTCCACTCAGCTATAAGCTATTGTCCATTCTGTATGTCCTAATACTGAGGGGAATAAAACAAAAATCACCCGACAAAATTAACATATAAATATAAGATCACTTCAAAGTCAAATAAGATTTTTATTTTTCCCAATATTTTTCTCATTTTCTAGTGGCAGGTCTCGGAGAAAAAAAAGTTGTGTTGTGCTGTGTGTTAGAATTTTGGGTTTCCAGTTAAGAAAAAGCAAAACGATCTACGAAACAAAAAAATCACTGGAAAAAAATGTATTTCAGGTACTACATAATTTTATATATTTCATTTAAAAGATATTTAACCAGGAAAAGCCTCATAGAGATCAGGATACCTTTTAAAATAACTGATAAATTAATTAAGAATCAAGAGAAAAATATTCGTCCACACGTCTGTTTCTAGTGTATTATCATGTAAATAATTAACACTTTATAATGTAATGCATGGTTTCATCCCTGTGTGTGTTATTCCAGCTCTGCTCTTTGGTGGGAAGGTGAAGGTGAACCCAGCTCATCCCAAACAGATCGGCAGTATTGATCCCAACTGTCGTGTCAGTGACGTGATCAGAGGTGAGACTGCAAACATGTTTACTAGGGAAATGCTGTGCTCAGACATGTCGTCATTCAAGTACTCAAATGTCATTTGTGTTCTTCCTGAAAACAAATCTCTTCCTTGTAGACGCCTACGAAAATGCACGGAACCTTTGTGACCGGTACTACATGAATTCTCCTGAGCTGGTGCTGGAGGAGTTCTGCGGTAATTTGTTTGTACATTACACATTTATTTTTAGGTCGCACTTTGTACCTTGGCTATGTTTAACAAATAGTTTGGATTTTTTGAAGTGGGGTTGTATAGGGTACTAATGCGTAGTCAGTGTATTACCTACAGAAGATGTCAGTCAGCATGCCTCCAGTTTGGAGAAGCAGACAGGACTACCACCATGGAAGCTCAGCAATGTACTGCTGTGGATGGGGACAGCAGCAAAATGGATTTTAGCCACCTAAAAAAAATCCATTTCAGTTTAAGTGTAGACTATATTTAATACATTTTCACCACTTTAACTTGCAGTCAGACAGCCCTTTCTGCTGGGGAATTGAAGCTGTTATATTTCTCTCTTCAAAGCAACCAAACTCCTTTGATAAAAGCAGTAATTTTACTTTGCAGAACATGAGAGCTGTTGGTCTCCTGCTGCCTCGATTGGTTAGTTTGCTGTTGTTATTGTGAGAATTTGTATTTTTAAACGGTTATTTTGGGTTCATCAAATTCACACAATGACACAAACAAACTCACTGACTGAGGCAGGAGTAGACCAGCAGCTCCTGTGTTCTACAAAGTAAAATTACTGTTTTTGTCAATGGAGTCTGGCCCTGAAGAGAGCGATATAACGGCCTAAGTTTCCTGTTGTAAATCGCTGTCTGACAGCAGGGTAAAGTGGTGAAAATATTCTACATATAGCATACACTTAAACTGATACTGATTTTTTTAGGTGGCTACAATACATTTTGCTGCTGCCCCATCCACAGCGGTACATTGCTAAGCTTCCATGGTGATACTTCTGCCTGCTTCTCCAAACTGGGGGAGTGCCAATCACCATCTACTGTAGTTAAAACACTAACTACAGATAAATACCTCACACAACCCCACTTTAAAAAATCAGAACTATCCCTTTAAGCACTTTAAATGGCCTTAATTGCTTGATTCAAACATATCTGATGAAATCAATTCTAAATCTTTGATCATTTCTTTGTCCCGACAGTCAAACCCATCACTGTGGTCTATGTCCCGTCTCATCTGTATCACATGGTGTTTGAACTTTTTAAGGTAGGATTTGCTTTTCAAACTCATAATTGGACAGCTGGTTGCCTTTCTCTTTTATTTAACTGTCATATGTGCTGTCATTGTTGCAGAACGCCATGCGGGCCACCATGGAGTTATATGGCGATGCAATGGATTATCCTCCTATCCATGCACAGATCGCTCTGGGAACTGAAGATCTGACAGTTAAGGTAAATCTGTGCTGCATTCACGAGTCTTTTTTTCTCACCAGTGTAAACTCCGTGGCCAATTGAAAATTGAGTCATTGGATGAGGATACTGTTCAGACCATTTGTTCTTCTCCAGGTTTGTGATCGTGGAGGAGGCGTGCCGCTGCGCAAGATCGAAAGGTTGTTCACCTACACGTACTCCACAGCTCCTCGACCCAGCCTCGACGGGGCCCGCGCTGCTCCTCTGGTCAGTGACTCTGATGTGTGATAAGTTAGTGTGTGAATTCATGTGGATGGACGTGAGCTCACTCTTCTGAGTTTGGTTTTAACTTCTCCAGGTTGTACATGATACCATCAGAAAACTTCCCCTTAAATTCTCCACTGTGCTTCAAAACATCAGAATCAGTGAACAACAAGGTGTAGACCTTTTTCACAGCAGATATTCTGACTCAGGTGAAACAAATAATAACCTTATAAAACTTTTAGATTTGTAAGAGGAAACATTTAGGACCTAAGTAAAACTCACTTTTGTTGTAATTAAAAACTAAATAAAAACAAATTTTTCATACAGCCTCTACACAATGATATGTCACAAACTTAACATAAAGAGCGACGACATGACAGTCCAAACGTGATGCCAAAACATTGCAATCGCCCCCTGGTGGCTGACTGCAGTTAAGGTCATAAACCTTGCCACTCTCCTCCAAAAAAATTAGAATACAGGTCAAATAATTTTTTCCCAGAGATGGTGTCTGTCATTTTAGGTTGTTCTTGTCACACTGATGCTTGTTCAAGTGTTTGCTATTCTGATGAGTTTGGTTTTAATTAGTTATTTGATGCTATAAAAAGGGGATTGACGTCATGATTGACAGCTGTGCGCGCCAATCAGTTTGCTCATTATGAATGGCGCTGCTTGGTTGGACAGGTGTATGGGCAGGAACTCAGTACTGGATAGATTGGTACTGCCTGACTCTTGCTCCAAATGAGGTCGCCAGTGCAAGATGGCAGCGGCCGTATATTTTAGTTTCACTGAAGTGGAGACACATCGTCCTATCTGTGTCAATAATAGACCAGCCTCTCATTACTGTAATGTTTATTTCAGTCGTCTCACCCAGCTCCAGTCAGTCAAAATCATAGGTTATATAAAGAAGTGGACGTAGCCTCTGGGTCTTACAAGTGAAACTTATGTGAAGGTGCCTTAAACTGCATTCTTTCTAATGGCCAGCAGGAGGCGTCTCCACTGGTTGCAAGAAGTTTGATTGTATAGAGGGGTAAAAGAAAATGACCCGACTTCTCACTTGATTTATTAACTCAATAAACATTTTCCTAATGAGTTTATGATCTCAACCACTAGATTCAAGTCTTCCTCAGCACATCATGATGTTCATTTTGTAATTATGATCCCATTAGGGTAAAATAGACAATAAAGCAAGATATGCTTTAGGGTTTGGCAACCTTGTGATTAACAACAAATCACTACCACAGCAGCCTCTCAGTCAAATTGGAGGCGTAGCAGCGTGTGTCCTCCCAATATGGTCACTTTTGGCTCCAAAAAACCACAACATGGCGTCGGCCAAAATACCATACTCTAGGCTTCAAAGTGATCGTCCACAAACCAGTGGGTGACATCGCGGTGGCTGCTTCCCCTTCTTTTATACAGTCTATGGTCAAAATCTTGCTTCGCTGAAATGAATGTACAATTACACAGTAAAACAGCCCCAACTCAGCGTCCATACACTGGCTTTTTCCAGAGCTTTTGACCACATCAGACAGGCTTCATGTCATTGTCATTGAGATGTTAATCCACAGCACTTAAAGTACTTCACTTCCAAGTTTAACCTAAATGTTGAGCAGGTGACAGAAAAACAATCACAACTGACAAACTTGCTGGCTTTTTCCAGAGCTTTCAGTTGTATCACATGGTCTTCTTATTGTAACACTGCTTCAAAGAGAGAGAAAAATATATGAAAGCATGTCTGTAATTTTCCCTCGTGTTCATGGTATATGTACACAGCCAAAAATCAGTGTGTATGTATTATTAGTTCAGTGCCAGACTAACTTCACAGTCTAAACTCTGACATACACGACTCTCAAATTATTTGTTCTTCGCTATTTTCCCCCAGGCTGGTTACGGGTATGGCCTGCCCATCTCACGACTGTACGCCCGCTACTTTCAAGGGGACCTGAAGCTGTACTCGCTGGAGGGTTATGGAACTGATGCTGTCATCTACATCCGGGTGACTGAGTTTAACATTAACATTATGCGTGTGTGTGCTTGCTTTTTTTACACTGTGTTTAAACTTGATTCTCTCAATCTTCCTGTCAGGCTCTCTCCACTGAGTCCATTGAGAGGCTTCCTGTGTACAACAAGTCCGCCTGGAAACACTACAAGACGATCCACGAGGCCGACGACTGGTGCGTCCCCAGCAAAGAGCCAAAGGACATGACGACATTTCGCAGTTTCTAGGTCCAAATGGATGCCGTCCTGTAGCAACGTGTGCAAGAGAGGTGGTTGTGAAAGAGTGTGTGTGTGTGTGCGTGTGTGTGTGTGTGTGTGATGGCAGTTAAACAGTCCAGGTGTCTTTGTACAGAAAGATAAAATAATAACAGAACAAAGATTTAGTGCCATATGCTTCATATAGGTCAATAGCTTGTTAAAATTTTGGAGTGCAGCGGCCCTCAGTTAAAGCAGCTACAAGGAGTTTGGCGCCCCCTGTGGGCAAAAGCAGTAGAGCTTCGATGATTGTAAAGATCTAGATTGGGCTAAAGCGTGCATTTGTTTAGGAAGCAAATGAAAGAAAGACGCAACTTACTTGAATACTATTTTTCTTTTTTAAACACAGCTGTTTTCAGTATGCATTGCAATGAGGTGTGTGTGGCTATTTAAGACGAATGGCTGCTGCAGTATCAGCCACAAGCACAAAATTTAACATCAAAACTAAAATTCTGTAAAGAAAAGTCTCCTCTAGCTTACTTTTAACTGGCTAACAAACTGCTCACTACGAAACTTTCCCGTAAAAATGTAAACCAGACATCCAGGAACGCAACTCAGCCTTGCTTCCAGTTTTCCGAGTGGCCACTCTCGGTATTGCAGCAAAACAATCCCCTGCAGTCCGAAACGCATATTCTCCATGGTTGACAGGACACCTCCAATGGCAAACAAGGTCACTTATGAATCTCTCTGTTACGAGTTTTGGATCCGTGGAGGTTTCATATTTGTAAAATTTTCTATTTATTTTTTTACTCCTAGACACTGACCTCTGGTGGTGTGTACTTTGCACTACATTGTCTCAATAAAGCATCTCCATATCAGTTTAATAAAAAGAGGAGCAACTGTGTTTTTGACTTTATTAAAACATACTTTCTATATACATATATAATGTAACGCATTGATACCACCCAAGCATATTAGAGACTGTTTCATGTACAGGATAATGTACAGCGAGCAGGTCATTTTTGGGAAAAGGACCCAGACAAGCCCACAAATTATGCTGCTTACACAGCAAAAAAAAAATCAATAATGTCCAAAAGTATTCATTTTAAACATTTTTTTTAAAAACATTTTTATTTATATTATTATTATTATTATTATTATTATTTACATGCTTCCAAAAGGACGGTCTGTTATCTATAGCCGTGCTCTGCTCTTCAGAAATAAGTCTTTAAAATACTGTAATCAATCAGAGTTGAGTATTCAACAAAGCCGTGTAATAAAACCAGTTAAAAACTCCTTGTAGCTGCTTTAAAAAGACATTTTCTTCTTACTCCTACTGGTACGATTAATGGAAGTGGCTGGGAGTAACCAGGACCAGTTCTTTGGAAAGCCACATTGCTCTTGAAAGTAACGCACAACCTATGTCGCACTTTTGAAGCTGATACTACTATTGATGTTAGGTCATATAACAAAACCTAAATCATGTCATTAAGGATGGTTATCAAAGAATTGTGACAACGTCCTGAGTGTCTGATGGACAAACTACAGTATGTAATCACTTCCTAAATGGCCTCAAATATATTTTGGCATTTCTGTTGTGCAGTTTATTATAATGAACCAACATATAAAAAACAATAACAGTATATCCAAAACTGAAACCAGCTGATGAAATCAGGTGTAACGTCATGTCTTCTGTTGTTGAGTATTCCATGTAACGTCTTAGCATCTCAAAACCTGAGACACTTTATGGTTAGAGTATGAACTGTGTTTGTATTGTTAGCGTTGATGGTTTGCTTTACGGGTTTACAGCTTCTCCTTAAACGCCTAGCTGCTTTTATTTTGCTGAAAGTTTAAGTGTTACAGTCCGTCAGTGTGCAGAGTTTCCTCCACTCCGTGTGAAGTTGGATACTTTGCTTGAAAAGGATAACTTGTTACACAGTCATTAGTCGCTGCTTGTTTTTGCTGTTGGGAGTTTCTGCTGATGAGTCTTACTGGTTAAAATGTTTTCATTGAGGGCATTTCTTTTTCAGTTTGACACATACAAGCGTACAGCGTGATCAAAAACGTGTTGTTTTGCCATCTGTAAAGGGACATTTTGCACCTTTTTTTACTTTATGTGACATGAGGAAACTGAATAATTGAAACACAACATTGCGAAAGGAAAAATATGTAAGCCGCTTTGTTTTATTGGGTTGGCAACATATTCAGTTTCTTCTTAAATTTTCACTTAATCTGCAAATAAGGTGCTCCAAATCTGAAACAAGGTGCATTCTCACGGGTTGCACCACCTTCAGTATAAGAGAGTAAAATACATTTGGGTTGCTGTGGTTGTATTATCGAGACTCACCCCATTAAATAAGCTATGTACAATATTTTCCATGTTACACTCAAGCAGTTACGCTGTATGGATCATGCTCAGTGTAAAATAAATATTTCAAACAGACAGATGAATCTTATTTGTGTCAATAATCTCTGACAGTGAAGGTGGATGGAATAAACTGTCACTGGGTTTCATGGGAGCATTCAGTTGCATAAAATGCCGCCATTGTTCCTCCCCATTCAAATCATTTTCGCACAAATACATTTTGAAAGTTCAGGAAATACAAACTACAAACAACTCTGTCAAATACACTGCACTGTGTGGATTGTAGCTGCTGCAGTATTGGGTCAGTCACACGCTGCATTAAATCAAACATTTGTGATGATTGGCTTAGGGCTGCTGTGAAATCGCACCTACTTATGGCAACAGAAAAGTTCATCTTAGATGTGTTGGTACAGTGGACAACCAAGATGGGACGGCAGGAGAAATACTCACACACCAATTTGACTGAGCTGGACAGCTACAAAAAGGTTTCACTGGCTGAGATCAATACCTCAAATGTCAGTTTATTCAGAACATCTGTGCACAAAAAGAAGGGTGCTCAAAGTGCAAAAACAAAAAAAAGGAGGTGATTAAAAACAGCAGCAAATATTTCAGTCCCTGATTATGATCAATGGCTGCAAGCAAAACTATTCAAATAGTCATGTTTTCTCTAGATACAGGCGCAACAAAGCTTGAATGCAGGTCTTGTTTTACTGGAGAGGTTTTGATAGTGCTTGGTGCTGGGTTGTTTCAGTCAGCCTTAAATACACACACTTTTTGGCTGTGTACTCATATTTTTAACCGATGTTAAAGATAATGCTAAACCATTTATCTGAGGACATTAAGATTAAATCATAGTTACTGTAGGGATGTTACAGTATGTATCCAGGGCGCTGCATCATCAGATTCCACTGTGGGTCATCCTTAAGAGACAGAATTTGTGTAAAACATGATAGTTTTACTGCTTATCTGATGGCAGATAAGTGAGTGCACACAAAGTAAATGGCCTCACATCATATATTCTTGATTACAGTGACCAGTAACATGCATCATACAATATTAACAAAACATAAGAACAGCCCTGCGATCAATACAACCTCACTTAAAGTCATTTTCTGTTGAAACCATCAGCCTCTAGATTCTACATCTGTGTGTGGAGAAGCAAATGTAGTCTAAACCACAACAAGCTACAGCCTCAAAAATAAAAGTGTCATCAATTTAAAAGTAGTTTGATAAGCGTAGTATTTATAACTGGAATACTTTGATTTCCCTGATGCAGTTTTCTTGTGCATTAATATATAAAAACATAGTTATCTGGCGCTCACTGTAAATGCAAATCGACTGACGCAGGGAGGAAGAGCCTAGAACACAAAACAAACCCACCACATAAAGTGAAAATTGGTTTATTGATGCTGCATGTACCAAGAAATGTTGAAAACATGATTATCTTGCAGTCCAACATGTCATATTGTATATAGAACATGGAGTCATGCGCGAGAAGAAGAAAGGAAGCACTTGGGTTTGGCTGCGAACGACTCGACGTTCAGCCTCACATTCATACATGACGCCGTGCTCCCGACTCACTCAAGTCCTTGTCATAGGCACATCTTACCGTCTAACGGACCGGTGAGGTGTGCGTGTAGCAGACCTGTGTGCTGTGTGTATTTACATGGAGCATCGTGGTACCATCTCAGCCACACACAGCCAGAGTCAGAGACAGCAGAAGCAGCATTCACCTCGTCCCTATTTGATTTGTTTGTTGCTTTTCATTCAGCAAAATACGACAGCCTAGCTATTCTACTTAGTAGAAAAATTTAGATAGTATAAAATGAACAATGATATTTAGGTTAAAAAAAAAAAAAAAAAAAAAAAAAGATATGCAGTTAATAAGCACATGTATAAAACTCATTTATACATTTAAAACCTTGTCGCCCATTGAAGCTTAAAAGACAAATATAGTGCTTTTATCTGAACTGTACAATAACTGTTCCTGCAGAAGAGTTGTACGTGGCAACAGGCAAGTTATACTAGCAAAAATATAAAATGCTGAAAAAGCTGTATATATATCTGACTTCCATAGGTAAATGTGTGCATGATCTGCAACAGCTACATTTAATCTGACAACAGACCCTTTTTTTCATAATCATAGCTTCTAGCTTTTAGTGGTACAAATGTTAGGATTCCTTTTTGGTCACATACCCAACTTTGTTTTTTGACATTGCCCATGTTTCAGTTAAAATCATTTGTGCTGACGTTTGTTAAAACATCAATCGGGAGCTGCAGCATGAACATAAATCATTACTGGCACCTCAGTCGGCACAGGTTACACTCCTGACAGTCAGTCTGTGGTTGTTGGCGTTCACACCGTGTGACATGAACATCATGGCACCAAAAATATATATATATAAAAAAGGAGCTACTCAGGGTTCTGCTAGTGATGAACTTTATGAGCTGCATGGATTCAGAGAACAGAGCTGCTACCTCAGCAGACAGAGTCAGTACTGGCCGGCAGTTTCCCACTGCGTCGAACCTCCTTCTCTTTTTTCTCCCTCTGTTTTTCCAGCTTCTCCTGGGCCTTACGCATGTCCTTCAGTTTCTTCTTGATGGTTGAACGGTCGCTCTGACTCGACACACCGAGTGCCTGAAGAAGACAGATGCACAGTTTTAGGGCAAAATAATGCTACCATATTCTGACCACCAGGTGGCAGTCAAGGCAAATAAGGCTCAACTAAATAATGACTTCTTTTGCAGTGAAAAAGACTTTGTATGATTTAAAAAACTGTCATTCCATTATAGGTAATTAAAAGTTAATCATGCTGTTGTTTTCTTTACCTTCAACTTGTCACTGTCCAAGTACAAGAGCTGCTGTCCGTCCACTCCCTTCGCCGTGAATTCAGGTGTGTATTGGTCCATATTCATGCCCATCAACCAGTGACAGACCTGTTGATTGGTCCACTCAGAAACAGGCCGGTTCTGCCACTGATACTCTTTCCCTGGAGCTATTGGCTCATCATCCAAAGTCTGCACAAGACACAGATGATACAAACGTATCAGAAAAACACTCTTGCTTTAGTAAGAGCATCACTGTTTCATACTTTTTGTTAAAATACATTTTTTGGGGAAACTTCTGTGCAGGATTCTGAGAGTCTAAGTGAGTTCCTTGAGGTCCTTGTAGCTTTTACTGTCCGACTGTTATGTGTCATATGTTGCTGTACTCTAAGGGGAAAAGATTACTCATGTCTAGTGCATGGAAAATTGTTATATGGACTTACACCAAAAGTATGTAGATGATGCCTGCCAACAGTGTGCAACAGCCGTTCTATGTCATGGACTGTACTGTATGTTGGATAGTTTGGATCAATGTTCCTTAAGTACAGTTTAGTGATGGCAGTAATCATGTTTTTTCACTGTATCATTTAAATAAATGCCATAGTTTTAAGCTGTTTAAAACAAGGCCCACTTTTTCACTGCTTTACTTTGCTGTCAGACAGCCCTTTTTTGACAGGGGACTGAAGTTGTTATCTCAAAGCCACTAGGCTCTATTTACATAAACAGTAATTTTATGTTGCAGAACATGGGAGTTGCTGGTCTAGCGCTGCTGTGATCAGTTAGTGTGTAAGGTTAATGGTGAAAATATTCCAAATTCAGTGTACACTAACACTGATGTTGATTTTTTTAGGAGGCTAAATTACACTTTGCTGCGGCCACCATCCACAGAAGTGCATTGTTTCACTTCTGTGCCGGTTATTTTGATTTATCAAAGCAACACAGTACATAAAATAAACACAGCAAAAACATCAGACAGGTCAGCTAACTGTGTTTAACTATATATCTTTAAACATTACAGTTACATCTGAAAATGACAACAGAAATAAACAAGTTTGCCGTATTTCTGCATTTGAAATCAATTGCCAGTTGCCGTTGTTTGTCACAGTGCTTCAGTCTATAGGTGGAGGAACTGCTAAAAAGGCAGTTTAGCTTAGAGAGGGTTGAGGCTGAGGGACCAAAATAAAAAGTGCAGCCAACATAATACATCATGTATACAACAAACATAAAGAAGAACATGTAGTGCAAGTTCTGTTGAACAGAACTGTGTGCAGTGTACACATTTCCCAAGCTCCCACCGAAAAAGCACAGAAAACAGGCGTGCAAAGACAGCAAAATACCAGCAACATTCTCAGATGCAGGTCTACGTGTGTCTTCATATTTCATATTTTTCGGAGAGACTGAGACACTGGAAACTCTAATATCAGAGCAAACAGCTGCTGAAACACCACTGAGCAGGCAGCAGAGCAGTCAACATCGTCCTGTGGTCTGCCAAAGCTTGTAAAGAACACGAAGCACTGGTTGACGCTTTAACAGAGGCAAAAGTAGTAACTATTAAAATCACAGCTGACTTAAGAGAAGCTAAGCCACAAGACTTGCTTTAACACAAAACAAAATGGCTTTAACACACATGCAGCTCTCTGCTATCCCCTCTGCATTCATGATTTAATCTCGGCTATGAAAGGGGGGAAGCTCAAAGAGCATGCTTGAGAATGTCCCCTTTCAGCTGCATCAAGGCGTCCCACACGGCTTTTGTGACTGTGCAACAAGGAGAGCACTCACCTCGCTGGAAGAGAAGATTAAAGTGTGTGAGCGCCCAGACAGATTGGGTTCAGCGACTAACCCAGAGATGTCTGAACTGGGGCTGGCAGGGTTAGAATCATCTACGACTGAAAAACTCTGGAACAAGTGGAAACAAGGAACGCATTTACTAAAGCAACACATCACCAAACATCAGTTCTTTACCAGGACAAGCAAACAAAAACAACACTACAGGTGTGAGGGGTGATTGCAGTGCTGCTTTCATAAGGACTGACATTAATATGACAAATGATTTAAACTGATTTCAGTGGCAGCAATCCAGGTCATTGATTTGAGCAACAGTGAGTGACTGTGATCTCCAACACAAAATAAAGCACAAATATTCAAGGTGATTAAAACTAATCCACCACCAGAACTACACCAACAAACTTCTAAACTACAACAACAACAAACTAAACTACTTCTAATGAAAAACACACACACACACACATTCAGGTATGGGGTAATGTTTTTTCATTGAGTTGAGTCAATGCTATGACATTAACAGAAGCCCAGAACGTCCATGCTTGCAATTTTTTTAATGCCGTTATCTCGAGATCACGATAGTGTTGTCAGAAATACCCTTGTATTGGTGCATATGGATCATGAATATTTGAAACTGTTTCATTACACCTGCACAAGCTGCTCTTTCTTGCTCTCTTTTATTATTAAGGTTAATTAGAGTAATCTGCTGTTCTCTTTTACTAACCAAGAAAAAAAAAAGTGGTCACTGTCATGTTAAAGCCTTGTTGTATCCATGTTTTAATAAAAATTAAAATTTTATGCCCTCGATGGCAATTTTTTTCCTGTGGCATCAAATATCGATAATTTTTAAGGTAAAAAATTTAGTTACAAAGTTAGAAATTCTAGTGTCATGACAACATTTGATCCAAAGTTAAATATCTGGTTGTCTTGATGATTTCTTGAGATCCTGAGACAATAACTCTCAAGATCACAGGAGCTGTTCAGACATCGAAAATGAGTGCAGTGTTACAGTCTGCTGCGTTAATGGGTATTCCTCAATCTGACATTTTCAGTTTAAATCAGTTGCTACAGTTGTCAAGACACCTATAGGTGCTGGCATAGAACTCCTGATCTCTGATAAACAATTTAATTCATCCAAAGACAACAAAATAATTAACCTGTAATCTTGAGATAACAGTATAAAAAACAAACAAAGCACAGTTGTTTTCAGCTTCAAAACTAATGGATTCATCAAGTAATTTTTCTTACGTGGTCTAAAAGTTAAACTGTGGCTTGTTTTTTAGACACAAATGTGGGTTGAATTTGCAATCAGGGAAATAATACTTAGACCTGCAGACTATTGCACCAGCTGTGTGCAAGTTCATATGCAGTTTAATTTTAATGTAATGTCAGAATATGTAGCAGTTAGTGTCGATGATACACACAAATCTCTGATCAAACTTTCCATTAGCTGGTGCAATAAGCCCCAGAAACTACATTTGGCTTCATCTGTTTCCTCTACAACAAGCCACGCGGCTGTCTGAATGTGGATAAAAGGAATATGATAGAGAATAATAGTTTTCTTTAACACTACCACATACCCAGTTCAGAAGAAGCTGTGAATTATTCAGAGGATGTGTTGAGGTAAGAAATCACAAATCGCAGAACTCTACTTGTTAGTAATGCTCTACCGTGGCATCTAAGATCAAAAGGTAAAACAAAGATGCGTATACTGTACCAAATCTAATGAGCGACTGAATAAAGAGGACCAGGAGAGATTTGTCTGTTTAAAGGAAACACGATTCAGTGAGATAAAAATTCCAGGCAACAAAGCACTGACAAAAAACTACCATGATGCACACAGAAACAAAAACCAAAACTTTTCTCCCTCAGTAATCATTTTCTGCTTGGTTCAGCCCGTGTCTTGAACTCATTAAAGAGCATCGTGGGAACGCCAGCCCGACCGCAGCCTGTGTGACAGTTTGCCACGCGTTTCATTGGATGCGTTTGAAGTGTCACTATTTGCAAACTCATTGAAAAGCCACCTGATCCTTCCCTACTAGCTCTCTGGCTAACATCTGGATCCAGTTGCTGTAGCCTTTGCATGGTGTAGCTTGTTTAGGGAACTAGTAAATAACAATACATATGTCTGGAAACAGCTTCCTGTTATGTTTCTACTGGTTTTGCTCTTTCAATAGAGATACAAATCTATCATGATGATGGGGTACAGACGAAGTTTTACAGCTGGCCAAGTCATCACGTAACCTCACTTATGTTATAGATTAATCTAATTAATTTCACATTAAATACTGTATAGCTAATATCTAATTGACTTTGTACTGAATGCAAATGCTTATTATGTTCATATAGAGTTTCATACCTTATTTTTGCGATCTTGGCTTTGCTCACTGCTGGTTTCAGTCGCAGCGTACGGCAGACTGCTGCTGGACGATGACGGCTCTCTGTCTCTGTCCTTGTCTTTGTCTCCAAACCAGGAGAAGGGCATACAGGTGGGGATGGAGGTCATCGAATCTGCAGGAGACAGGTTCCCTCCAGACTCCTCCAGTAACTCTGCCGATCCCCTGGGCATTGGAGAAATAGGACGATACAGTTATCAACACTCACCTTACATATGCGACAGCTTAATACATGAAGACTCAAGAAGTAATAACCAGCAGATATAGGAGGTAAAACTATCCATATTAAGATTTGACAACAAGAAAGTAGGAAGTTGGTTTTGTGTAGCTCAAATTTACACCAAGTAAAACTGCAGGCAAGGTCTTCATCCAACAGAATTAGCAATGGATACCATCAACAAATGATACAAAAAAATGGAACCACAAGGACTACAGAAATTTGCAATATTTCCTTCCTTTAAATTGTTATAAACTTGAGCAAATAAAGTTTGAGCAAAAGCGTACCTGCTGTCCAAAGACGCTCTCATCGCCTCCTTGTCATGTTTTTTCCCTTTGCCACCTGACTTCCTGAGGCCTCTGTTGATGACCAGTAATATTATATTCATTAGTGGGAAAATGATGGTAAAATGACTTAAATGACTGTGATCACCATGGAGACTTACCCAAAGTCAGGAAATCGTCTTTTAGTTTTTCCTCCTGATGAGGCCTCATTTAGCTCCTCTGAAATGACACAGCAGGCTCAGTATCAAAGCAACAGAACACACCACAACTGCAGCCATCATAGTTCGATCTTACATACCTTTGAGCTCTTTGCTCTTTACTTTTGGCTCCCTCTTCTTGACATTGCGCATCAACCCAGAGGGGGAATGTGGTGACGAGGCGTCTTTTGGAGGGGACAAAGACGGACTTCCGCTGCTTTCAATACTGTCTCCCTGCGACGGCGACAAAGATGGGCTGCTGGAGAGCTCGACCTTACTCCTGGATCCATCTTTAGCCTCTCCTGAATCATCCTTCTGTGCATTCCCAGGGTAGCAGACAGGCACTGGAAGGGCGAGGCTCTCCTGGATAGACCTCCTCCTCCTGGGAGATTCCTGCTCCTCCTGATCCTCCTCTTCTTCAGTTTCCTGTGGAGACAAAGCTAATTATTTACAAGCACAATGCAAGGAAGAGGGGATAAAAGCTTGCTTATGTAACAAAAAGCTATGCTCTTCGCAGTCCTTTTTTTGCTGTCACACACATTATAAAAGGTGCATTATTGTTGTGTAAAAGCTAAAAGACACTCAAGGATGTTCCCTTTTGTAATGGAGAACAGCTGTGAGTATCTTAGGGCATTTTAGTTGTTTAGGAAAAGTGATGCCTCAACAGCACAGGGGAGTTTTTTCTAAATTTAGCAACAAGACATATTAACCACACAATAAGTGGCAGTAAAACTGTCAGCCACTATCACTGCAGAAAATATGCACAAAGTTAAATATTACTCAAGTTAATAAGTGCTGTTCTATAGAAGGCTCCACAGGGTGTTTTGTCAACATCAATTTTAACCTCCGAGATGGCATTTTGAGCATGACCTGCCTTGGTGGGGTTTCAGGTTTCATGTCATACCTTACATCTGGCCTCAGGTGGCCGACTGCTCAATTCAATTACATGCTCATACAACACAGTAATGTATCACTTTCAGCTGTTCCTGGCTGACCTGAGAGTGACATGAGGCCACTGCAAGGCTCTCCTTCAGTTTGCTCCGAGATGGAGGCTGACGTTTGGCCTTCTGAGCCAGCAGGCCTTTTGCCCTGTGTGCGCTGGTGTCCAAGCGCTCAGTCTCAGGGACCAGCTCACTCCAGTCCTCCTCTACACAGGAGAAAGAAAAAAGCTCATAAGACACTTTGCATAGTTTAAATTATTTACCAAGGTCACAGGAGTTTATGATGTGTGCTTGTGAATGATTAACAGTCCACACAATGAAAGTATGACGTGTTTTTCCGTGTTAAATTGTATTTCTAGTAACCCCTTGTACCTAGTAGTGAGTCAACAGATTGCGTGTTGGTGACTGGGTCTTGGCTGATTAATTTCTCGTCTGCTGCTGAGTCCTGACCGCTCTGACACTCCACACCTGAGGCACCTCTGGACTCCAGGACAGATATCTGTGGACATAACGCTCAGGCTCATTTTGGTGTCTTCAGCAAGTCTGTTGTGGAGAATAAGCATTTTTTTTCCCACTCTAGGGTCTTACCCTGCTCTGCAAGCTCTCCAGCTGCTCCTTGTACCACTTGTCTTTTTCATCTAGAAGTTTTTTCAGCTCCTCCTCTTTCTTCACAAAGTCTATCTCTCTGGGGAGGAAACGAGGAAATGTGTTTTCCCATCAGACCTTTAGCTTGTAAACACGTTTCATTTTGTGTGATTATCACTAAACCACTTAATTCCACACACCACAGTTCGACAATATTTGAATGTAACAGCACTGAATTGTGCGACTCAAGACAAACTTACTTCTGCTGGTAGTCCTTGAGCAGCTTCTTGGCTTTGTTGTATTTCTTGTCCAGGGTCTCATGTTGGGCCTGAGTCTCAGCTAATTGTTCATTCACAGTCTTGCACAGCTCCTGGGCTTCCAGCCAGTAACTCTCCAACTTCAGGATTTTGTCGTTGCTATCGTCTATCTTTTGCTCCAGTGCAGACTCTCTGGCTTCCCACAACGATCTGTCCTCTTCAGATGCCCTTAGCTGTACAGAGATGGTGACATGTTATTTTGTTGAGCTAAATTGAATTTGCAGGTGGGCCGCTAGCCTGGGACAGTCTCTGTGTTATTTGAGGTGTTAAATAGTAATTTAAAAGAACTGGGTCACACATTTTGTCTGATTATTGTCTGACCCGGTTTCTTCAACCTACTGTAAATGCGTACTATAATAAAACGGTATACTATACTATAATAACATTTTTCATTTGTATTTACTGTGTCATATATTTACTTCTCTTGTATGTTACATGAATATCTTGAATATCTTAAACAATAAAAAAAGGAAAATGTTTATTTCATTTTCGTCATACCTTTTCCTTCAGTTGATTAATTTCAGCTGTGGCAATGCTGTGTTTGAGCTGCAGCTAAGGAACAAAAATAGGAAAATAAAAGATTTGGTTACACCCATAACTGTAGGTCATTCATAATATTTGGTTGTCTTCACATAATACTGAATCTTTGATATGTATTTTAAATCACATGAGACGTGGTCATGGTGCAGGTGATACCTCTTTGAACTTGAAGACCATCTGAGAGCTGTCCATGTTGGTCGGCATGAACAAAGCCTCTGAATCAGGCAGCTCAAACAGCTCTGCGTTCTGTCCTGGGGAGAAATTGGAGCACAGGATCCTCTCGTCCACTCCGTCCTCCTCCTCATAGCGCTCCTCCTGAAGTATGACATCACACATGGCATCACATATTGCAAACACTGACACACCCTACATACCCTGGGATATGCTCGGCGTGTGTCAACAACACTCCCAGTGGCACATGTCACCACAGTCTGGAGGCTACATTAATCAAAACATCATAACCAAACACTGGTGGGCTGGTTCACATGGAGGCACTGCATGTTCATGGCTACCATGAACACATTAACATGAACAATATTCTAAGTGGACAACAAGACTGCCAACACACCTACATACAATTTGCATAAAAACAGAGCCACTCGAAATGGTGTCCACTTCCTCACTGAAAGTTATGCAACATGCCTTTTAAGTCTTTGTCTACCCCAGTAAATCCCTTATATATTATCTACCCAGTCTTTCTGTCGTAAAACAGGGGCCTGTGGCTGCTTGAACTTCAGAAAGCAAACATTTCACAACTGCAGCAGACAGGAGGCGGTTGACTGAACACCTTCCAACACAGCAGAATGGTGACACATGGCTTACTCACACAGCCAGCTGCTCATTTCCTGGTTGAGCTGAGTGGGATTGGACTGGGCGTGGCAAAGGGGCTAATGCCTTGTTCATGTCATATCAGAGTCATCTTATGAGTGTCCGACTTGTAAATAGCATTCACATTGACATCCAAGTCACAATTAAAACTGGGAAACTCTGACTTTTTAACTGGGCACTTAATCCTACAGAAATACCTGAAAACTACGGGAGACAAAAATAACAGACAAATGTGGACACCTTACATTAGCCAGTTATAAAGGGCTCCACTCTAACTTTAAAAGTAGTTGCAGGGTTGCAACCAGGCATCAGCTTTTGGTTGCTGAAACTAAAACTAAGGTGGCCATTTTAACTCACCTCATATTTTGAGTAATTAAGATGCTATGCAGTTTTATGTCAGCCTAATGTGAAAATGTGACATAAAATAATGTTTAAAGCATTATTGCAGTAACTGAACAAAGTTCTTTGTATGTGTTTTATGTGATTATATAATTTATCTGTATTTGCTCACTCAAATAACTTTATTTGCTTCGCCTTGTTTCTAAAACAGATGCCTGAGCACACACGAGTAAACCAACAATGCACGTGCAGTGTTGTCACATACGCTATCACACATCAATGGAATAGCCACCAGGAGCCATTTGGAGTTGAGTAACTTGCTTGAGGACACTTAAACATGCCGACTGGAGGAACCGGGGATCAAACTGACGATCTTCCTATTGGTGGACAACCTGCTCTACCTCCTGAGCCACAGCCTCCCAACATAAGGCCAAGAACTAGTTGGTTATTTCTCAAAATGGCTAGCAGTGGTGACCTGGCAACTGTTACTGTCAAGCCCTGTTAAAGCCAAACCTAATGGATGTGTTTTTTACTGCAAGTGCACAGAATCTTAATCCTCACATGATTAGCTCTGTAATCATAAAACCGTCTTAATGATCTGAGTGCTCGAAAGTCACCCATCTCATATGACATTAGCATGACATATGGCTAAGCAGTGACTGGGCTTTCCCACTGAGGTCCTGACCAGCTGACTCACCTCCTCTGTAGAGTGCTCATAGGGGTCATCCAGGTGTTGTTGCTGTTGCTGCTGGTTCTTCTCCTGCTCAAGTGTCTCACTTATGAGGCGGGCTACCTCGCTTTGTGTCCCTGGCTTCTCCCGACCAATCAGGAACCTGTGTTTTAGAATGTAATGCCTTAGTGCACCATAAAATGGAAGATTGTACATGTGAAAAAAACTTGGTGCAGCTTCTGTCTGTCCTGTCTTACTTTCTACAGGGAAATGCTAATTTTGAGATGCAGTTTAGACTTGACTCTGTCACGTGTGGGTGTTTCATTTGAAATCATGAACATGCCACAACACTTTGTGGCCTATTTCACTTTGCATTTTCACTATTCATTCATGGCCTCTGGACTTTCAGGAGCTCAGTCTTGTCACCAACAAGATCTTTTCAGTAAGGCTGATTTTGGGGATTGAAGAGATGGGTTTGCGCTGACCTCACTGTGCCTTTGGTGTTCTTCAGGACTGTCGCAGCAAACAGTTGTGTGACACCCACCAGACTGATGCCATCCACCTCCACTATCTGGTCATTCACCTGTATGCTAGAGACACAAAGACAGTAATCATAAGGAGAGGTTTTTAAAGCATTTTCACAGAGGAGTTATGCAATGCCTTCAGCATAGTTGTAAAGATTAAAACAAAACATCAGTAGCCTTAATGCAGCTGGCAATAATTCAAATCTAAAAATGCCTGGGAAATAGAAGTAGCAACTATTTTCTTTAGCTTCCTCATGCAGTTATAAATAAATCTGGTTGTTTTTGTCTTGTGTGTCACTGGGGACTGGGGGAATGCGCAATTCCTAGAGTGTAACATAAAAAACTGTTTTTGAGGAGCAGCGTACAGTGAATGTGTACCATGTTTCCTGTTGTATACAAAACATCACGAGTGACTGTTTTTCAACGAGACCTAAACGTGGGGTTGTGCAAAAAGGAGACTTTAGTGCTTTAACTTACCGTCCATCGTTCTCAGCTGCTCCTCGCTCTGTTATGGTTTTCACAAATATGCCCAGCTTCTCCAGACCCTGGTCAGCTCCCACTCCCATTCCTATGATACTGATGCCAAGTCCATTGTCTCCTGAATGCAGAGAAATTATGAAGATTTTATGGGGTCGGTGGAAAGAACTGCATACAAATAGGCTCAATTCCATGTTCATGCTCTTGACACTGATACATAAAGATATGGTAAAGGTTGTGTTTAAGGATTAAGATCAGTAACTGTTTAGGCTACACAGTTTAATAGCAATTGTTACAGTACACACATCAAAGTCACTACTATTTGCCTTCATACAACTGTGCTTTATGTGCAGCTGGGTGAAAACAGGTTCTCCCCCCTTATGAAATGTTTCTCAACAGTTGCTTATGGCATGTAGGAATTTGCCCTCAGTGTCATGAAACTCACCTTTCTCGATCTCCACAGGGAACACGTCCATTTTCTCCACTCTCTTCTCCAGCTCATACTCTGCAGACGCTGCGACTGGATCCACATCATCATTGCGCCGATCATACTCCTCGTTGGAGAAGGTAGTGAAAACCTGTGTGGGTCAAAATATCAAGTGCAGAGCTTCAGTTTACCACCTTCTGTGTCCTTTCCAAGTAGTTATTCATCAGACAGATTTATGTTGAGGGGAATCTACAGGATCTACGCAGACACAGGCGTATCATTTTCACTTCTTTTTATCTTGGCAGGCTGAGCAAGGACACATTTTTTATTTGAGAGAAATTGCACAAGGAGGGAGAATTGCACTCATTCTTTGGACTGTTCAGCATGTACCGCTTGTAGGGAAATTAAAGTGCCAGCGCACTACTGAAGCACACTTTAACAGCTGCTGAAGGAAAGCATAGCCCTTTGATAATTTGAACCACTGACATTGTCGTCATTTTTCTTAACACTGTGTCTGGCAGAGATTAAAAGCTGAACGGCCTTTAGTTATCTAACTGTACAGACTGCATCGGCAACGTTTCTTGGTGGTCTTTTGCATCTTTAATGAAAGACTTATCAATCACATGTTTGAAAAAAGATGTAAATCAAGTGTCAACGACACTGGAAGCAGAAGATGCATTCCCAGGACATACTCTGGTTGACTTTCATCAGAGTTTTAAGAAGTTGTGAACTTCGCAGGCAGGCCTCACAAAGCACTGGATGTGTCCCAGAGGCCGTTTTCTGGTTGGAATTATAAAGCACATACACACAGTACGGCAGAACATGAGCAGCGTGGAAAGTAGGGCACAGCTGGGGAGAGCTGAGCAGTGGATGTAGCAAAGATCAATGCTCGGAGGCGACAAGTGTTGTCAGCGGCACAGTGAAAAATATATAATAATGAGCAATACAAAGAAAAGAAGTAATCCCTTAAGCTCCAGTCAAAGGGCAGCGCCCAGCACTCAACCCCGGCCTTAAGGGTTATTACATACAACAACACTACGTGCTATTTACCTTTTATACTACTGATGCTACCAAGCAGAAATGGTATTCCTAATCCACTCTGAAAAACACTCCCGAGGTCGAGCTAAAGTGAGCACTACGGCATAAAATGGACTGTGGATGAACATCTGTTGTGACTCAGTAACTACCGTGTAATAAGAGTACACAGTTCATTCAGTGTTAAGACAAGAATAGCACCAGGGATACAACAAATTCTTATTCTCATTACTGATTAATCCGGCCATTTTTTCTCGATTAATCTTAAAAATGCAGACAATAGTGAAAAAGTTGTCCAGCACAGTTCCCTGGAGGCTAAGGTGGCAAAACCCAAAATTTTTTAACTTAACAAGATAAAAAGGCATTTGAAAAAGTCAGTGCAGTGAATTTTTGCCTAAAAATGACTGAAATCATGACGGTTTATTTTCATTCACTTATGAGAGAAACATCAGAGTGAGTTACTAGTTAGATATAAAGCATTGTTAGATTAGAGTTTGGCAGACTCCATCAGGAGCTAATGCCTGATTATGGAGATGAACACAACAGTGGGTCTGTAACATAAACCCCCTGCTTGGTCATCATTAGTCTTAATCTGGGTGCCGTCATGATTTTAATGGTGATGGTGGCAGAAGGACGCTGGCATTACTGTCCAGGTGCCGCTGACTGACTTAAAAACAAGCATGATCTAACTGCACTGTGTGTATGAAAGGGGAGTTGTAGTTTTTCTTAATAGCAGGTTTACTAATTGGATGGAGCAAAATTGAAGAGTAGCCTTTTGTAAATTAAACAGGAAAGTGGAAAAACAAAGGAAAGGATATAAGACGCAAGTAGAATATGAATAAAGGGAAACACCAAGCAGTCGTCATATTTAACTTTTGCTGAGTTTAATTGCATTCCATTAAATATTTTGCATGAATGGTATAAGAGAGAAATATATAAAAGAATATATACTGTATAAAAGATTTGTACCTCACAGTGGCAACAAATACAAGGCATAAAATATGGGTTTCAATTTGGGATTAAATTTTGCATTTTATACTGGTCTTGAAGCACAAGCCTCAAGTGGCATCAGTGCAAAGGTTTTCCCATTAATCACCCCATACAGGCACAGAAGCATCCTGAACCCTGATGCCTCAAGTACTCTGTGTGCTCTCCCTGAGCAGTTTATTTTTTCTCAGCTTATATTTTTGTTTTGATCATTTCTAGGAACAAAATATTAGGTTCCTGTCACCCGCTTTGATTTATTTTAATGTATTTCCTGGTCATGAAGTTATCAAGTAAGTCAACTAAGGCATGCAAAAGCCTGTAAAGTCGACAAGATCATCTGTGGGCACTGAGTCTATTTCAGTCATATTTTGAAAGAAATATGACCATTAAGTAAGGGGGTGGTTTAAGAACTTTCTAAGACTTTTTTTCTGAGAATCTGCCTGGATTAATTCTCAATACAACTGTACCCTTTATTTTAACTCAACAACCACACAAATCTGTGATTCCATCTTGTATGTCATATGTGATGAGTTTGACTGATCAAATGATTCACTATGCATGCTATTTAGAGCCTAATAAACTCTACAACAAAGGGCCACATGTACAGCTGTATACGGTCTCAGTAAACACCAAAACACATAGATAAGGGCTTACTCACAAACACTGAGCTGTCAGGTGGTGTGTTGTATTCTATTGAGCAACCTTAGATATCTGAGAGACACTATTCCCCGTGACAAATCTTTGAGGTGTGCTCCCATGATATAGAGAGTGCAACCAAGATTGTGGTTAACACAATAAAAACAAATCTAACAACAAGGGGTGGCAGTTTGCTATAGGATTACAGGATTGATTGAGACATTTGCCATGAGGATGTATGATGTAATCAAGTAAACATTTCCACTGTGGGCAACAGAGTCTGAGGGCTAGATCCTACAGCATGTCAGGACTTGAGGAATTAACCACAAGCAATCTCCTTTTCCCCTCTGTCTTTCTGTCTCCTCTCTATGTAGCCTTTGGACATTGGCCTAAAACAGTGCAAGATAGTAAATTTCCAGAATACCTCACTGATCTCTCTGTTCAATTTGTTACAGTGAAATACTACAGCTATTTCTGTTTTACAACATCCTGCTCATTTTCACACGCATTGATCCAAGTGGAATCGTACTGTGCTATCTTGGAAACAAGGTGTAGCTACATGTACTGATTTTGATACACTTGCACGTACCTCTCTTATGAAGCCTCCCTAACCAAATGAAAGAAGATTAGAAACTTGAGGATTATGCACACTACTGCAGCTCTGTGTTGCAGGCAGGAATGCTATTCATGGGGCCTCGACCCTCCATCAACCTAAGTGAGTCCTCCTCCGTCTAAATCCTCCTCCTTACTTTTATACTTGAGCAAGCTTGTTACCATAGGCCTATAGTCTGTGACCCATTGGTAGAAAGGTGTTATCTTTATCACACAAAGGCAAGGCCAGTGCACATAGTACTGAAGAGCACTGAAAACCTTTTAAAATAACCAACAAGCTGCTCAAGATTATTTTTGTCCTGCTTTTCTTGAAACATATTTCACATCTGGAAAAAAAGCTTGAAAGTTCTTCTATAAATGACACTGAGCTTATCAACTTTTAGTTTAGACAGATAAAAATGGAGAGTTTAGTAATTACTGCTGAAAATGTAGGGTAATAGATTATAGTGAAAATCACGGCATCCTTGGCCCCAGCATTAGCTGAGCAGCAGCCGTTCAGATCGGCTTGTCCCCTCTGCCTCCCCATGACTCCAAAATCTGACTTTCCTGTTGCCATGGGCTCCCAGGCCTTGTTCGAACAATGTTCTGCTCTTTGCTGAAACTTAATCACTCAACCACTGTTTTCTCAGTAAGAAAGACAGAAATCAACCTCTTTATTAGTCTCTCCCTCACAAACAAGCCTTACACACAGCTCACTGTTACCACTGTCTCCGGTTGTCATACTAAATGGCCATTTTCCTTTATTGTTACGCACATGCCCAGTCCACCATCTGCTAAAACCAAAACACTCAACTGTTGATCAGGCAGACTAACCAAAGAAGAACTATTTCTCTTCAAGTTTAAACAGAAAAAAATATTCAACATGTTCTTTTGATGCCAATTTCTCCCTCTAAAGTATCACTGTGATCACTGAGGTTGTGATGTGGGTCAGCTGACTTTATATTTCCATTCCTTTCAACACTTTAAACTCCCAGCAGTATGTGTGGGCTTTTCATCCATCTTCAACACATGCAGTGGTCTGTCCTCTTTACATGTGCTCACATGCACAGATGAACACATGCCCACACCCAAACTTAAACCCCTTCCCACAACAGAATACCAATGTAGGAAATGAGTCAGCAGCTGCAAGGAAAAGCAAACCAGAGAAATCTCTTGCCAGTGCAAAATGAGGGCTGACCACTGGACTGGGGAGCTGGTAATGTAAGCGGGCCTACAAAAAGACAACAAATCAAAACATGCTGTGAGAGCGAGCTAGGGTAGGGGTGGCGGCCTGGCGCTGATCATAGAGTAATTAGGGAAGAAGGCATGGGGCCCAGGTTTTAGATCCTGTGTAAACACACCAGAAAATGAACAAAAAAAATATATCTAGTGATATATCTAGTGCTTCCTGTATGCACACCCCTGGAATTATTAACACTTTGTTAAGTTCACAATGACTGACTGCGACTGAAACAACAATATTTATATTTTAAGTGACAATGTATGACCTAAGGCAGGAAGAGGTGGAGTGTGACAGGAGCAGAGTGTCATAATGGAATCACATTTCCAAAGGAGAGCAAACACAAACAGGTTGAACAGGTTTGTATATAAATGGCCCACAAAAGCTACTTTTGTCCTGTAGGGTTTGCTGAAAACTTTAACACACAATTACCGCTAACTTTCAGTGAAAACACACAGCATCTGCTAATGTGTTTGTCTGTAATCACATAATGAAAGCGTTTAAGGCAATCACAATCAGCCCAAGACTCATCCCATGCCAAGTTGTTTAATGAACAGCATTGAGCCGACTGCATTAGTATTCCGCCCCGTTTTGTCGGATAGTCAACCACTTGCCCAGGTGGCTGAGGGGGGGAACTCAGATCCTAGAAGGGGAGGGCCTGTCAGCTGGTGGGATGAGGGTGGAGTCTTGTTAGACACATTCCTTTGGCCAGCAGAAGACCCATCTCAGATAGGAAATGGAAAGCAAAACACTATGGGATGGGTTGGCTGCAGATGCCAGAGTCCTCTGCTTTCTACTAATCACAGGAAACACAGATAGAAAGGCAAAGGATTCTGTCCTGCTGTAATTCAGGCTTAAAATCCCAACACATATGAAGAATAGGGGTGGAGAAAAAGATAAATTCACATAAGAATAACAATTCTTATGTGAATTCACCAAGCAAAATATTGATTTTTGTATGCTGTTGATCAAGTTATGTTAATGGAAAAAGAGCAGAACTCAACTGCAAGATTACAGTACAGCATTTGAACAATGTACAGTGCACACACACATGGATTAAGTTATATTGTAGTTAATCTGAAGGTAATCTTTAAAAATTTCTGGGTGTATTCTGGATTTAATAGTTTAATACTTAGTTTTGCACAATGAAAGTTAAGTATTTTTTGGATACAAAGACAAAGACAAGCTAATGTTAGCTGAGCACTGACAAACTGACACTGCAGGGACTTCACTAAACTTTCAGCCAACTCTGAGTAGGTGAAGAAAATAACTCCATCCACAGCCTGCTTCACTACAAAAGGCCTGCCCCTGTACAGCATTTTAGACAACAATGGCTTTCCCCCATGCTACCATTGCATCAGAGAGGTTGCTCTCTCCTATGATGTTAATAACAACACAGCAGAGCGTTGCTCCTCCTCCCCCTGTTCAAGACTTTTGCAGACACCACAGGGCATGAAACTCTTGTTATCTGGCTCCATGTCAATGTCTACAAACTATACTCTACCTGACACAGGTGAAATGCCCTTCATGTTTTCAGATACTAAATAAAGTTTTACTGTGGGTATACAGGAAGCCAAACTGACAAAAGGTTGTGTATACTTGAACAGTGACCAATGTGGACAGTAATTATCTACAGTGCAAACAAAGAAAAAAATGTTGAATTCTTTCTGTTACAACGAACTCTACAATCCTCTACCACACCTTGTGTGTTCAAACAGGCACAATATGTTCACTTGACCAATAACTGCTGGTGTTACGTCCTGTGACTCTGCGAGGGAGGGGCTAAGCGGCAGGTGCAGATCCTGGTTTCAGATATTTTCTTGTCCGTTACAGTGAACTGGTTTTTGACTGCGGTTCCAAATGTACTCATGTGCAACATGACGCACAAAACCATGGACAACCTTTTTAGAGATTCCACATAACTACCCTGAAATGACTGTGCAGTCTTTGTCCCCAACAGATAGCATGCCAGCAGCAGGGTGTGTTAATCATTTAATAGCTCCTGGCTTTCTCCCTAAACTATAGAATTCAGAGTGAAAGTCAATTCCTGTAGATGCAAACCTGTAAACTGCTAAAAAGCGATCTGAGATTAAGTTTCTCCGAATAAAGACATGCCTAGACACACGAATATTACAGGCCTGATTTTTATTTGCAGTTTTAGAGGAAACAGTCTCCTCACTAACACAGAAGATAACATACCTATATGCAGTGGTGCAATATTTATACTGCTCATACAGCCAGAGGGTATAGCAAACTTAAATACTGACACAGCAGCAATGGGATTGCAGCATTTCAATGCCCTACTAAAGTATGTCTGTGTTTCCATATATGCAGAAGAATCTTCTCAAAAAACATAATGTAGGAAATTACTGCAGTGCTTTCTTATCAACACCATGCAGTTATCGCTGCTATTTTTCCTTTCTAACATTGCACATTTTAAGTATTTTCATTACAAGATACTACATACTTGCAGCAACCATAAACATTCACTAGTTCAAGACTCTCACTTTTAGGAATGACTGAAACTCTGCACTAATCCTGACTGCTTTAGAAAGCCTTTTTCATCCAAGTCTGTTTTTCAACTCTGATAAGGCTGATACATGTTGAAACTGGACATCTCTTTTACTTGACAAAGAGAACCTTTCTTCCACACAGGACACCTCCTCTGTCAAGAAGACTCGGATTACGTAGGGACCCAATCCCGTTGTGAGCCAGACGCACAAAGCACTTCCTCTCTCCTAGTTAGCTGCGACTCAAATGTGCTCTATCCCAGTGCCAGCTCTGACTAGCAGACTGTGGAGCATGATGCAGTGCTAGCGGGAGGCCTTTGTTAGCCAGGCCACAGGTAAAAAAGGTTGGCTGAGGGACATTTGTGTGACTTAATTGGCTAACACACATACCACGTAACCCTGAACCCATGGTTTTAATCCAAGCACACGTCATTGTTTGGACAAATCTCTTTGTGTTGTTTCCAGCCCGTCCTCTGCATGCACTCATTCATACAATTTTATAAATAGCTAATTGGAAACATGCTTGGACATTTTTTTAACTTGCTACTTAGATAATCTTCACCTTACATTTGTTCATTTGTTGTTGCATATCTCCTTCAGTTTCCCCTGAGGATTACTAAACTGATAATAATCAAATTCTGAAAATAGTGATGTTGGCTGCAGCCCTACATTTCAGGACCATCAGTTTTACATGTGGTCAGTGCTGTATGCACACTCACGCCTTTCACATACTGACTTGCCACACTAGCACTGCACATATTATTTGGACACGGTATGAAAAGTTTGTACACAACTAGTGTCTTTCATATCAGCCCTCGCAAACCAACAACTGTAACCTTGTGCCAGCTATTTCTGTTTTGCATATATTTCTCTCTCATAGTTGTCACGAGCAGTATTTGACCTGCTACACAGAGATGACACAGTCTAGCATATTGTTGTGAACTACAAAGCGGTGTTCATCTCGATCATAGCTCTACTTTGGGTGGAGGAGGAACACTGTTGTTTGTGTCCACTCCAGGTCAGCTTCTGGTCCCCTCTCCCAGGACCCCCTGCCGGGATGACTGGGATGAAGGGGGGGGGGGTCCACACCCTGAGATAACAGTGCATTTTAAGGCCTGGATAAACACTGAGCTGTTCACAAGCTATGCGGAATGCACTGGGGTGATTTGTTTTTCTCTGCTTTAGCAAAATGTTGTTTAAATATGGTGATTGTGGAATATCGATGGTGGAGGATATTATCTCCACTTCCAACACACCCCTCAAACCCACATAGGTCATGTTTGCAACACATGATGTGTGGCAATACCCAAACAAATCAGGCTACACCGACTGGAAAATCAGTTTGGAGTATAAAACTGTAACGCTGAAGGATATATTAAATACGTACTATAGATATAATGATATAAGACTACAAGGATTTTTGTTATTGCCATATTACAGCATGATGCAGTCTGTTTCTTCAAACGTATTTGTTCAAGGAGGAATATCAGCATTTATATTGGTAAAGCTAATTGTACAGGAGCATTTGGTACATCCCTAGCTGAGATTAGATAGCATACGGAAGCACCAACAGTAATCTAAAACCATCAAAGTCAAAAATATTGTAATGATAGTTATTCTATCAATCGCCAAACTCTACAAACCCAACTGAAGGACTTCTATCATCAATGAAGAGATGATGGATTTCTCTCACCAATAAACATTTGCGACATGTGGGCAATCTGAGAAAAGATACTAACACAATGTCCTTTTCGGCTTTTCAAAAAGGCTAATATCCTTATAAAATGATACCACAAAAAAATCAGGAATTCCCCAGCTGTAATAAGATAACTTATCCATGGTCCATAAAAAAAATTGTATGGATGAATAAAAATCCCTGAATTCTTTCTATCCATGTTGGAGAGAAGAGAAAAGTCCCTCATGAGTGTAAGACATGATTCACTACCAGAGGGGAACCCCTCTAAATGAGCAAAAATATCCATGCAGTGCAGTGACTCAGGGGTGGCCATGATTCTTTACTGTACAGTCTAAAGTTTCACATGTCTCTACCTCACTGCTGCCCTCGTTCAGCTGTGGCCCTGCTTTCACAAGCTCTTATGCAATGTCAACAATATATCCAAAAATACCATGAACAATGTAGCCAGCTAACTTCTCCCCCCGCTCTCTCCTGATCTCTTACAGGGTTAATGCACCACGTGACGAGGCTGTCAAACTACCTGCCTCCGTGGTCTCTGAGATTAAATAAACCATAGTTTACATTTTTTTAAACTGTGATGATGATACGGTACAGCAGCTGTGACGTCAACATGCCCCACAAAAGCATTCATTCTCAGCCCCCGCTAATTTGTCTTGTGTCTGCAGGGAAACACCTAGGTCAGACCGTTGCTGAATCAGTGAGACGGTGGTTTGGTTTATAATGACGGTGCTGTGCAATATGTTCTTAGGTGCTTGAGTTGAGCAGCAACAGCTCAAATGTAAACAACATGACACAAGGAGTACTAACCTGAATGGGGTCTGTAGAGAACTTGATTTTCCTCTTTGGTGGAGGCTCTTCCTCATCCGACAAACCAGCAGTCTCGTAGCAGTCATAATAATCCCTATACATTTGATCTCCCTCCTCTTCCTCCTCCTCCTCCTCTTCTTCTTCCCTGAGGACCTGGTCTACATCTCTGTCATCCACAAATGCTGCATTCTCAATGCCGTACACGACTGGTGAGGCTCGATCCAGGATGCTCTGGCCCACCTGCTCCTCCACCTCACTCTCCTCCTCTGCTACCTCATCATCTTCCTCACAATTATTGTCACCATCTTGATTCACAACTGAACTATCTTCCTGTCTCTCCTTCTTCAACCCAAATCGCTCGTTGTCCTCCAAGATTCTACCTTCACCCACAGGCTCTGCTATCCTCTGTGTCTCTTTTGAGACATCTCTCATTAAGACATGATGAGCAGGTGTACAGTTCTTTTTTTCCTGTGTACAGGTTCTTTTCACATCTGTTGGTAGGTCGTCTTTGGGGCTTTGCACGTCCTCGTCCTTAAACACATTATCTTCAACATTCTCATCCTCATTCTCGTCACTCTCTGAGGATTCATTCTGAACCACAACCAGTTCTGCCCGTACCATGCCCACCCCCCTGGAGTCCAGTGATGAGGTCTGGCTGGACGGCTTGTCCCGGTTAGAACTATTTACCACACTGTCATTACTCCTGTTTTTTTCGGGGTATTTGGCCCTGTTGGTATTCTGAAACCCACCAGCTGATGGTAGAGGCTGCTTCACATCCCTTGGGGGCGGACTATGTGGCTTGCCTTCATCCCCACCAACAGATGTCCTACTAAATCCATCACTGGATGATGAAGAGTGTTTGTAGCCATGGCTAACTGGGATTGTTTGCTCTGGTGAGAGGGGTCTGTGAGTGGCATCAGTTGTTGAGGAGTTAGATTTGTATGCTGCATTCGTGACCGGGAATGTTGTTTTAACACTTGACCCAGGAGACGTTGGTTTGTTACTGACAGACGCCGTCTGGGATGTGTTTTTGTTAGTGGCATCAGACACAGGGGTGGAGTTAGTGGCTTCTTTAACAGGAGAAGTAGATTTGTGTAAGCTGTCCCTTGTTGGAGAGGAAGGCAGAATGTGTTCAGTGGTACTGTGTTGTTTAGCAGACGCCATGCCTCCCTTTGTAGCAGCTGTGTTGTTGTCTTCTGAGTCACTCTGTGCCATGTAATTCCCTAACCTTTTGGACATGGGTCCTGCATTCAATGGCACTCTAGACACATGTTTTTTCTCACTATCAGCCTTCTCATCCGGTTGACATTTTACTGTTGATGTAGGAGTTTTCTCTGATTTGATAGCAGTCTCTGAGGATCCCGATACTCTCCTTGTGCTTTTCCCTTCCTCAGAGGCACTTCCAAAGGACAAACGATTTACTACTCTGTTTGGAGACTGTTTTTCAGCTGCAGGCTGCTCTTTGATGCCCCTTTCAAAGAGTTTTCTGGTCACAGAAAACTTCTCCGCCAAAGCCACTTTGTCAATCTCAACATCTTCCCCCTTGGGCGTTTTATCTAAATTGTGTGATTCTGGGCTTGTGGCATTGTTGAGGTTACCTCTGTGACTGTTGCCTGGAAATTGCACCTTGGGCGGGGACACCTGGGACACATCGGGCTTTACAGTCACTTTCCCCTCTTGGCACTCTTGCTGCTGACCATCCATCTGTAGGAATATGTTCTTAATCTTGTTCACTCTGTTCCCAAAAGGCCTCCCCCTTGTGTCCTCCCGGGTGTCACTGGATCCATTTGCATATGATCTGGTGTCACCCTCGGACTTTGGCCCGTCAAAGGAGCACTTAATGGCGTGGAAATCAGACTTGTATGCATTTCTGTGAGGGGATGCGCTCCTCAGGGTCCTCTCACCTCCTTTGCTCTCGGCTTTGATCATTTTTGTTTGTTTGCGATTACAGCCCAATTGGAAAATCCGGATTTGGAGACACTGATGCTGTTTGATGGGTGAACTATTATCCTTTAACTTTACGCGAGCGGTGCCATGGGTCCGGCGGTGCTTCTTTGGAGTACAGTTGTCTTAACTAAACACTCACAGCGAAGTCATCTATAGAGAGAAACAGAGTACAAGCTGTTAATAGACACCGGATACCATTAAGTCACTGAGCCTAGCGAAAGTTATCTACTCCATAATTACCTCTTTCAGTGAGCTAAGCAAACCAAAACAGTGTGAAAGTTATAACATGAGGGTTAACGTTGACTGTTAGTCAGAAAGTTAACGTTAGCATGTATGCGTTTCGGTGGTTGTCTGACTACAGACGTTAGCTAACGTTGAACCAACATTTTGGTCAACTGAAAGTAACTTTAACCAACTATAAACTTTAATTGTACGGCGTTCCAACAGCTAAACGTTGTTAGCATTGTTACTAACGCCACATTAGATATTACAAAGGCAAAACAAAGTTAACTTACCGGGCCAACAGTTCAACTCAGCCCCAACGTTACTGCCTCAGTCTGAACAATTCATTGTGGCATTTCAAGTACGAGCCGTTGAAAATGTTAACTCCGGCTCCGCACACAACACCGCACAAAGGTACACAACTTCATAACGCTCTCACCTCTTACTTGCTTCATCGTGTTAGGCGCCGATAGATGGCCCACAACGTCCCGGTTTTGCAGTATCAAACTTGTCCCTTCTTCTTGCTCACCGCCATCATTCCCCGCTCCAGCAGCGTTTCCCTGCCTCCTCCTTGCACTTCCAGACCTGTCGCGGGGCTGCGCGCGCACCCGAGTCTAGTCTGTGCCGCGCGCCGCGGCCGACGAGAACAGAGGGAATCGGGAGCGCGCGCACATTCCAGCACTGTAACCCACCACTCCGCTCCACCCTGCGCTCCCCTCTTTCTCCACCGCACACAGACACGAGGAGTTGTAGGAGAAAGGCGTGGGAAAGAGCTGGGTATAGCTATTTTAGAGCTCACCTAGACCTCTGCACGGGCCACAGTCCACACCTGGACTACAAAAACAACTCACTAAAGTTCATTTATACCGCACATGTTCTGCAACCAAGGCTGTTAAAGGTGAACTGTAGACATGGAAAGGGGAAACTTTTACCCTGGTCTATGCACTCTTTTCATTCACATTGCCTCAATAATATATCAGCATTAAATGGGCACTCCTCCGATTTTTAAATATGAAGTTCACTTTACCTGCCACAAGCAATAGGCTACTCTCATTGTACAACTCTAAAAGTTGTACAACGTTTTCTTTGGCTCTTGAGGGAGTCCTGGTGATGTCATCATGGTTATCTTGGCTCAGACTTGATCAGAAAATCTACATTTTAAACTGGAGGTGGGGTTTAGAAGGAGAGCATGCATTGTAATTTATAGGGGACTTGGTTAAATTTTAAACAGTGCAAATGAAGTACAAAGCAAGAAATGATTTACTTCCGGGTAATATTCAGCAAATGTTTTGTGACAGGGAGGGGGGATATAATTCAAGAGGAAAATTAAATCTAAAAAAAAAAAACCATTGTGTTTGTACAACCGTGAAAAGTATGTGTATTTCAGTGTGTGGGGATTTTTTTAGGAGGTATGCAGACAAAAAGGGGTGATAATGATGGGTTGGTTTATTCATTTATCTGGGCTTGGTTGAGATGGGGTTTGTATATTAAATATCTGAGACTGTTGTTTATCTATATTAATGGTTGTTAATAAGTTTGGGATAGTTGTTGACAATTTCCTTTTTAAATGACACATGAATACTGACAAGGGGTAGGATTACATATATGTACACTTCTTTCTTCTCCTTTTTGAGCATGTCTGTTGATGTTTTGTTTGTATATTTTTGCTCAAAATAATTCATTAATTCATTCAGTCATTCATTCAATTATTTAGGAAAGCTGCTGTGAAATCAGACATTTCAAAAAATTGCAAACAACATCCGCAGAATCCAAGAGGGACTGATAATAAAAGATTGTTTTGCACTATGGAAAATATGAAATCCACTGTTTTTGTAGCTTGTATCGTTATATCTGGGCTATTGCTGTATGGGAAGTTGACTTGGCCAAAGCTGGATTACCAGCTGGACAAAGCAGGCCTCTGCCTCAGTGTCCCAAACCCCCAGGGGCCCCAAAGCCCCAGGTCAATGGGTTTTGGCCATCAGATTAATAGGCCTTTTTTTTTTTTTTTTTGCAGAAGTCATTTTGACATGATACACTCATAGTGGGGAAATGATTTAATAAGTGATGACTGAATTTCATTCATTTAACTGCTTCAGTCTTGACCTCAGCCTTACCAAGAATGTACCAGGATCTTACTATTATTATCTTTTTTTCTGTACAGAGGCACCCTGTTACAGAGTTGTAACTCTGTTGTTTTTAATAAGTATTTTATTAATCAGTCATTGGGGAAATTCAACTGTTGGTTTGTTTTGTGTTCACATACTACTAAATAAAATTAGGAATCGCATTTGTCTTTGGGCATATAATGAAACTGCCACATGTCTTCTGTGTGACCTGTACCCAATGGGAACTTGGAGGCAACATGGTATATTTAAAATGCACAAAGATGGTGGCAGTAGGGGGTCCACTGGAGCCCAACAGCAAATGTTAGCCCCAGGGACCCCTGACTGGTAAATTCGGCCATGATCTGGCACACTAAGGCTGATTATGAGGCTCCATACTTCAAGGAGTGGAATCCTTTTTGCTGAAATACAACATCTACCTGTGATCTCTCATAGGTTTTGGCTTCAGTGTGGACACATACAGCTCAAACAAAGATTGATTTTTCCTTTGCAGATTGTTTCATTTGAATTATTTTTAGGGGCACTGGAGGGATAAAGAATATTTCACATGAAAAAGCAAACATTTGGAAAGAGTCAGAAGAAATCTGTAGGAGTACCTCAATGTGACAGAACAAGGCAGATCTTATCAGTGCATTTCATACACAAAAGTGTGTCAAAGTGCTTTATATAATATATCAAAACAGTAAAATGGGGACACAAAATAAAGACAAATAATTATGAGTGCTCAATGCTTGTTCAAATGCAGACTTAATCTAGTATCATACCCTCTGTTTTGTCCCAGCTCTGTTGTGCAAGCTGAATTCTCTTCACACTATGGACAGCTTACTGGTATTAATCCAGGTAATGATGTGAGACTCACCTCTGGAGTCACAGCTAATGTGTCAAGTGTGTCAGTATTCCTTCATATTACATACAGTCGGTCTGGTTTCTGTCTATTAACTCTAAAATTGGCCTCAATCAAAGTAGGTCACCAGCAGAGAGCTTATATCCTGCATACATTTGCTCTGGCTGTGCAAAGTGTTTTGGGACATTTTTTAATTATATATCTGTTATTTTAATTCACTATGCTGAAAATATCCATTGAAGCAATTTCACAGAGCAGGAGTAAAGATGGCTGAAAACTCTCACAGCACAATGCATTTAGATTTTACTTGCCAGTCGTATTTAAAATCAGGTCCCCTCCCCAAAGAGCGACACTTTGCAAGTTAGCTCTTATTTTGCAGAACTGACATTCCCCACAATATGTATGCGTCTGCTTGATTCACAAAGTAAAGCGGTGCTGTTTTCATTGAGATCGGCCACAAAGATACTGAATGAAAATGAAGTCAAATTTCCTTGGGGGGCTGTGAACCTACATTGCAAAAATATCATCCAATCAAACCGACCTAGGAGATAAAAGCCAGATCAAGTGGGAGAAGATGTTTTTTGATGTAAACTGAATATTTGAATATTTTTTACAAGATGATACATTTGCATAATTTTAAATCCAATTTTGATAACACATCTTATTTTTTTTTCATATCTTAGAAGTGTTAATTGTTATGTTTGATCAAAACTTTATACATTTTGAACCTACACTTTTTAGTTAACATGTATGAAGCTAAATATGAGGAGAATTATATAACAAAATGCAAAGAGGGTGTAATAATTGATAAATATGAACCAGACTGCAGCAAGAGGCCTAAACAGATGGTGATCTATTTAGACGGCATGACCATTTTTTTCAGTTGCCTAAAGTGTAATCCCATTTACATTTTTAATTCCACAAAACATGAAATATTGAACCTTCAACACTGAGTTAACTCTTGCGGAGAGTGTCACCTTTTGCCCTCAATTATTGGATTCTCATGAAAGCATTTTATGATAATAGTGCTTCATTTTTGGCCACTGCAGTCCGTCATATCAAAGCTGTAAATGAGGGTTTTAAAACACTCAAAGAGACGTCTCTGGATAAGGTCCAGTCCTCAGGCATTTCCTCTGGACTTATCTGCCCTCACATTCCATTTGAGACTTGGTTATCTGATATATGAGGTTTTATATAGCGCCGTATAACTGCTCACATGTTCATTATTTATGTTAGTGTCTGTGTGTTTACACTGTACATTATGGCTTTCTAATGCATTGTGTATTTATTTGTGTAATGTCAATCCATTGACATTTGGCTCTGTGTCTGGACATGAGCTCTCAGACGGGGAGTGAAAAATCTGAACAGTGTTAATTATGGAGCAAACTGTTTCAAACATTGCTTTTGACTGTGGAATTTGAACTTTGCTCTTTGCTAAAACAGATCTTACATTAAAATAATTCATCTGACAAGAAGAAACAAATAATAATTGATGCTAAACCTTAAACATTTATAGGCTTACTTACTTGTAAGAGCTCTGCATACCAGCAGCTAACAAATATCTTTCCAAAAGCTCATCAGCATCTAAAATTATGCTGTGTGTGCACATACGGGTTACATGTGTCCGTTTGTTTACCATTTCCAGCTTGCAGGATCATCTCCTAGCAACTGTGGGTCTGAAAAGCCATATATACACAGGCAGTAGGCTTTCTCCCAGGGGTAACATGGCATGCCGCAGCCAAGCCAGTGGTCCCTATAGCAACCCCTCAAACAACATCCAGTGAACAAGTCAAACTAAATGGAAACAGGAGCAGGTGAAGAGCAGGTCAGAGGAGCCAGTGGAACCATTGAGACAGTGTCTCCGACTCAGTCCAGCCCGGCACAGCTAACAGAACCAAGATGTCTCCACACCTGGCATTGTTCCCTCTAGCTGAAGAGGGTGGGAGGTTTAAAGGTTGATGCTTTTCGGTATGAAGAGCAATTTTATAGCCTTTTAGAGATACAGGATTTGTTTATTTTATTATTCATTTAACCGTTATTTAACCAGGAAGTCCCACTGAGCCAATCAAAACCCATTTAAAATGCAACAAATACAATATTATACAAAAATCCACAATAAAACAACGACTATTCAAACATAGAGAGAAAAACAAGCACATATCTCTATCACCACATTCTTTATGATACCCTTAAATCCATCAATGGATATAAGTGTTTCTAATATTTTATCTTTTTGAAGATTGCTCCATGTCCAAGGTGCAGAGTAGGAGAATGCAGTTTTCCCCAGATCTGATCCACCTGGAGGAGCGTAGCTGGTGACTACCAGAGCTGACACACAAAAGGGTGCAGAGTTAGGCCGGAAGTTTGCCCAGTATTGTTTTATAGATAAAAATATACCAGTGCTGTTGTCTGCAAGTTGTCAATGACGTCCAACCCACCAAATCATAAAGAATGCAGTCATGAGTCAGGGACTAAATAAAACATAGAGATGCATGGTATACTGAATTAAAGCTACGTAAAATGGAGGAGGTTGCATGCATAGACAATATGTCACCGTGTTAATCACAGACAGAAAAGTAGCTTCCACAAGTTTTATCGTTTGCACATTTACT